CGGCCATCTGCAAGGACGGGATGGCGATGGGACCTGGACAGTCGCCCTGTCCCCATTCCTGTGCACCCCCTACATATCTCTTAGATGCGGGATGCATGTCGTTTGCAGCATGGCTTTCCACATCAGATGTGTTGTTGTTCGGCACCCCCATCTTTCTTTGGCTAGCAAATTCTCCAGGTCCCGGTTCGGCAGCGGGAGACATTCTAATTTGTGGTTTCCATGTGCCCATCAAGTGACCATATCAAAAACTCCGTATATGCTCTTCGTTTTGTACGAATCAGAAGCGTTGTTTGCGATGCTTTTGTCAGGCCCGCTCGTAACTCTTCATGCTGTCGTTTAGTCGTATGGTGTTTTTAACCTTTTCCCCACGCGACAACCAAACTCTTTCCTACCCAGGATGCCAGGATCGACAAGAGGCAGGCCGGCGACTTTCGGAGTAAACCTGTGAGCATTACTTACAACAGAACGATATTGGTGCGGTGGATATGACGGATTGGCGTGGAAATGCCGCAGTGTGATTCTCCAAAGTTTTACCCTCGTCTCCTCGTCGACTCATCTGCCCCATCCAGCCCTATGATTCTCCTCTTTTTGACATTCGGGGTCAAATATTGAGGTTTTTGGCGTGAGGCATGACCTGTCTCCTCATGTCAAGGGTGGCACACATGATTGTTCTTGCATCTTGTAAGCCTGCCATCCCTTGAGGTGAAAAAATCTGTATGGCATGCTCCAATGCAATACCTGAGCTTTCTCCGCTTTCTCCGCGCCCTGTGCTCCGTTTGAAAAGCCGGTCTTTATTTTGTTGTGTTGTACTGGATGCAACAAACTTTGAAAAGAACAGAGAATACGACGTAACTCACACATACTCTGTAAATTTACCGAGTAATAAATCCACAAGCGAAGCACAAGAGCATTTGCCAACTCCGATACACACATCCACGCCCCAGGTGTTCGATCGTGCCTAGCGACTCCCCCTTGCCTTCTCAGTCTTGCGAGCCAGTTAGGTCACTGGGAAGGCTATGTCGTTTATGTTCAGTAACAGGGAAAAGACCTCACAGGCGGCCGATTGCGGAAAGAGCGGGTAGGGAACTCATTTGTGCCAGTAAAAGACCTTTTTTCCTTCAAAGCTGCACAGTAAAGAGAGTACGGCTAAGAGAAAGCTTGTACAAAATTCGTCTGACAACAAATATACTGGGCAATACCTAAACCGCACGCACAGCTTCCATTATTGATGCGCAATACTTCTGTATGTGCGTCTCTTCTTGATACAGATCCTCTCATCTTTCTTTCCTCTTTTGTTATCCCATGTCCATTGCTTGTGATTGTGTGGAGATTGCACGTGACTGTTTGTAGGCTCCAACTCTCCACTTTCCCCTTCCCCCTGCACGATGTCGCCTGTGCTCTTGCCTTGTCTGTTTGTTCTTCTTTCGTGTCATTGCCTTTCGGCGGTTCCTTTCCTCGCGTGCCTTTTCGTCAGTTTCGTCGCCCAGTGCCGTGGTGCGGTCTTGTCCCGTCTTTTTTCTGGGGCTCTTCGTGTGCAAACACTTGAAAGCGTGCCTGCCTCGCCAATTGCCCTGTCAAAGCGGGCCAGGTGGGACCCGACATCGAGGGCCCCAAGCCTAATTAGGGATTCTGTTACTTAATGGTTATGTACAGCAGCAGCAAACCGTTAGCAACGCACCTGCCTCACAACCAGTCCTGGCCACGCGATAAAACGAGCCCAGGGCCCATCACTGTCCATTTCTTACTGTCCACCGCCAAAATGCCCAGCCTTTAGGGGAAAGACAAGAGGGAGCCAGGGACCTGGATACGAAGAGCCATTGGCCAATGAAATCCCACTCTTTAGAGGGTCGTCCACTGTGCTGAGAGCCTTTCGCACCTGCCCAGCGCCAGCCTCGAAGACCTTGTCCCTCTCTGGCTCCTTGCCTTCTGGGCCTTGTCTGCTTTGGGATTTCTCTTTCACGTTCTTTTTTCTAAAACAAGCTTCGATGCGTCCGCGTTAGTTCCAGCCTGGCCTTCCCTCTCACGTCTCTCAACCCACTAACGACACCCCCCTTAGATAGATCAACCAACCAATGCCCACCTACAGATCTGGTCGCGACTCTGGTCTTTATCGCGCCAATGGTAAGGCTGCTTTACACATTGTCATTGCACATCTCTCAGGCCCGTTTTTTCTTGGTAGCTTTGTCGTCTGGTCTGTGTCCTGTCTTTTACTGTTGGCAATTCGCAATACAGAATACTCTTATCAGTTGCCCCCCGGTTTGACGGGATTGATGGGCACCATTAAAATTCGCTCCCAGCACAGCCTTGGCCGCCTCTGGATTACGAGACCCGAGGGACACGAAAAGTACCGGAACAATCCCCCCAGGGTCATGACAGAGGGGATAGGGTAAAGACGTCACCGCATTTCCTCTACCGCCTGCCCTGTCATCTCCAATGGCGACCACCCGACGGCCTCTGGCTTCCCTCTCTTTACACATTTCAGTTTGTGGATTTCACTGTGGATGTCAAAGCTGCAGCGTCTCATTCGTCTCTGTGCGCCCTCTCGCTCCCGGGTCGCCGCCTAATAATTCCTACAACCGATCCCATCTCGGCAGTAGTTGATTTAGGGGCACCTCCGGGCAAAGTGTCTTAGTTTACATTTGCGCTGTAGCAAATTTCAAGGAAGAGTCCATTTTGACCGAGGAAAGAAGCAACATGGAACTGTCACAGGATTAAGGTGACGAATAGAAGAGATCACGGAGCGACAAAAAATTTAAATTAAAATTAGAAATAAAAGAAAGTAGGAAGACGAAAATAATTCCGACAAAATGCAGGGTCCTCGTTCAGGCCCTCGACTCATCTTGCAGCGATGGAACAACTGGAGCTCTTCGTTCAATTTTGTTCCTTCGAATTTCTTTTTCAAGTTGAATTAGCAGCCTTCTCCCATCTTCTGTTACCGCATTATTTCTTTGGGATAGTGTGCAATCTGGCGATCCTCTTTCGATACGATTCAATTCACTAAACGAGGCAAAGGACGTGCAGTGCACTGCACTACTAATAGAAATAAGTGGGGTCACGTGCCGTTCCCCGTGGCGGCTCTTGTGTAAGAATGCCTTTCTCTTCTTCTTTTTGTTTTCTCCCTGTCTCTCTTCTTATTCTTTTTATACTATTTCCTGTGCACGAGTCTCCACGATTTTCATGAAGAAGAGGGGACATGCCATAACGAAAAAAAGAAATATTGCACAAAGGCATCTCTAAAATAGGGTATGATTTCTACAAACAAGCGAGTCTCCGTCTTGATGTCTTTGATTTTGTTGGCATCAGAACAACGAGTGAAGTGCTCGGGTGATATTTCAAGGCATATTTTTATGAACTTAGATTTATCCTCAGTTCCGTCGTGTGTTCATTTTACCTTTGCAATGGCGTTATCCACTTAGCACTCGGGAGCCAAATAGTCCGATCTGGAAACAGATTCCTTCAGAACGTGCCACAGCTAAAGAACAGTCAAGGAAACTTCCCACGTCCAGAGGCAAAGGAACGGCGTTTCCTGTGAAGACTGTGTGAATACCGACTCAATATAGGTGAATAGAATACAGTATTGCCTCGTCTCACAAAGCATGGCCGGACGAATGACTAACAGGAATATATTATCTCAACTGTGAGAGCGCTGGAGCGTTAAGCTCTACCGAGTCATGCTGTGGGAGTCCGTTCATCTATCTTATAGGAGACGAAGGACGTCGAATCATGGTCAAAAATATCAAAATGTAACCCCGACGGGTTTCTGTGGACGATGTGAAGGAAGGAAAAGGCGCGATCAAGAATCTGTGTGAACCGAACTTCCGGTGTTCCTAACTGAGCACTCTATTTCGATTCCACGACATACAGGAGCACTGTCACAACAGTCATCTTACGAGAAACTCGTGCGTACACTTTCAGTTTTGACTATTTATCTTTACAGCTTTGTAAGGCCCTGGATGGTCTCCCCTGACTACATGCCACAAGGAAAGTAGGCCACTTTTGCAACGATCACACAGTGGCCTTCCCTCTCTTGTGGGATTCTTTTCTTTTATTTTTTGATATACTAGGCCTTCTTTTCGTCAAGTCCGTTCCACAGTGGACATGAGATACTCGAACTGCTGCCTATGGTGGAACATCCATGATAGTGTGACCTTGTACCGACAGGAGTCTCATTGTTTTTGCTTTTTTTTTTCTCCAAAAAATCTTCACCACTTTCATGCGATCCCTGAATACCATCGTGTCTTATCTATTGTATCCATCTGCCCTCGCAGGGATGGGTTTGCCAAGATATTTAAAAAGGGTTACGGAAAGACATGACGGGTCACCGGAGCGTCCGTGTTTTGAATGAGGTTGATGCTGATCGCTGCCGTCCTTGGGCTATCTTATTGGGAATAAACATTTTCGTCGCCAACTCCGCGTCAAATTGTAATCAGAATGGTGCTATCATCGTTGAGACTTCGACCCGCCTTTTAAGGGGTGAGGCGAGAATTTAAGTGGAATACGATTTTGATTTTTTTTCAGATCATCAACACAGAGCCGTCACGACGTGTCAAGCGCCGGCGGTGTGTCTTCTACCAGTGCCTTATCTCTTAGACTCACGGAATGATCTCATTCGATCATAGAAGTGTAAGTAATATGGAAATCGACAAGAAATATTGCTAAAATAAATCAAAACGAGATGAAGCCATCAGCTGAATGGCTGTTGGCCGTTGTGTAAGCAATAAACGAGACAAATAAGTTCATGACACAGGTTGGTTTTAAGTACAGAAAAAAATATACAAAGAAAGAACAATAGAGAAAGAAATGAAGAAGGGGGAAATAGCCCGATAAAAAAGAAACGCAGTGTCGTCATCATAGTAGCCAACGGCCGAGGCGAAGCTCCTCTGCAAACTCATATCATACAACTTTCCCCGATTCCATCCCACGACAACCTATCGTCGTGTCGCCTGCATTGCTAACGGTTATTGACAACCTTACAACGGCCATCTAGCACGTTCCATTTCTCACTTCCTCCGCTTCCCATTCACGAGCCGGTCCGTCAACAGACCGGCCATCGCCGCCTCTACCACATGCCGCCGCCCATGCTTGCCGCTGTGGTTGTTACTCTCGACGGCAGTGTCAGCAACAGCCGCACCAATGGCTGCCGTGGCCACGCGGCCGCCCTTGGCCCCCGAGGCCCACTTGCCCGGTGTGTTGCGCAGCCGGAAGGCCTCGACGGCGCCGGCGGTGAGGGCGGATGTGACGACATGTTTGAGTTCGCGGCCGACGGAAGGGCTACGGCGGGAGGAGGAGGAGGAGGAAGAGGAGGGGGATGAAGCGGAAAATGAGCGATGGGAGCGATGGGAGCTCTTGCTCCGCCGTACCGGCTGGGAGCGACGGCGATCAACGGCAGTGGAGTCGCGACGGCCGTGGCCGTAGTCGCCGCCGTAGTCGTAGGCGTTGTAGCCGTGGTGGTAGCGGTCGTCATAACGGTCGTCATAACGGTCGTCATAATGGTAATCATAACGGTCATCACAGCGGCCGCCGTAACGATCGTCATTACGATCATCGTAGCGACGTGCAAAGCGGCCACGGCGCTCTGCAGAGTAGTGTGACATGTTTTCGGTGGATGACGGTTTATGCAGCTTGGTCGCTTTTCAGTGTATTCTGTTCTTGAAATTTGTAAGATGCAGTTCTTCTTTCTAGGTTTCCACCGCGCGGCTCATTTTATAGAGTCGGAAGGGGAGGAGGGAGTTTAAGGGTTCTTATCCCGCCTTCTTGCTCAAGTCGGTGGCGAGCACTTCCCAAAGTTCGGCAGGTTGGCAGCCAGACAGCCTCACAGCGAGTTAGAAACTGTTTAGGACACCTCGGACACGTCTCCGACGCCTCCGATTTGCAAAGCCTTCTCGGATGCGTCCCTTGTGACCAAAACACTATCGCCAAGAAGACATCAGAATGCGAGCAATACTCAACCTTACGAGGCTCTACCCTGCAGCGACCATGCTGTGCAGAACCTTGATTTGTGTCTGGCTAGCCCAATTATGTTGTCTAACAGAATCTTCGTTTGTGGAGATTTTCTTGTTTGTCACACACATTCAGAGCGCCGATCGCTGCACGGCTGTGACGTCGTGGTTCTCACCGGTGGCCAATTCTGGCCGAAAAACAGGTTCCACCAGCACCGTTACTGCAAACCTGAAGGCGGCAGGAGGCGGAGGACAGAAACAACAACCGGACAGCCACGCAAGTCTTGTCTGGTAATTAATTTATGTCGACAAATGGAGGGAGAGTACGAAATACGTCGCAAAAGGAAATCAAATAGAGGGAAGTGCAACGAAGGTAAATTGTTGAGAAGGTCAAAGATCACGGGAAGAACATCCGACACCTGCTTCAGTGCCAAGACCCTAGTCACTTACACGTAAAAAGGACCCACAAAGCTAATCAGTCACCAAACGAACAATATATGAGCAAACAAATGAGCAAACAAACGAGCAAACAAGTGAACCAACGAGGCTCGTTACCGACGGGGGAGGTTGGCAACGATTATTTCTCTGTGTTGTTGCCTGTGGCATCTTTGGTTCCGATTTTAGAACCATTTTATATTGATTTTTTCCGGTCAAAAAAATGATAAACAATTGACATATTTCTGTACTATTTAGCAAGTACAATGAGAGCATGTCTGTCTCGTTGACACGTGTCTCGTCATTGCTATTACAGCTTCGGTCTGCATTGTAGCAACCGTGACGGTGTTGACGCATCTCGAATGTAAGGTAACGTGAAAAATTTCATAGCCCACGACTCGCTGACATCGAGTTGCTTCAAAAGAAGAGAGCGGTCCAGAGGAGCCATTAGGTTCCGGGCCAACCAACGTAAAGCATCCTTAAGGACAGGCGCTAACCAGGGCTAGTGCTTGGCAACCCACCGTCCACACCACGAGTAAAGATGCGAAGACGTGAAGGGACATAAGTTTGATTGCGTCCTAGTTCCGGCTGAGTTGCATCGCACGACGCAGCAACTATTACGAAGCATGGCAAAGGGAAAGAACAAGCAGGGGAGCGAGGGGCATCCTGTTGCTAAGAACGCGCCGACACAAACGAACGTGGAAGGGCCTGCCATGGGACCCGCCGACTCAAGGGACAATCCGGGCCCGGAGGCGGAGGCTCAAGCGGCCAAGAGCTCGCTTCAGGACAAGGCGACCGACAAGACGACGACCTCGCCGCCGTCGTCGCCCTCGCGCTTTTCGCTGCGCATGTCGGCCATATGGTGGCGTTCGCTACAGTATGTTGGCATGGCATTGCACTGTATGGCACCCCCCCGGCCGCCTTCACCCAACTTCACGCGGACCGTCACGTCGACGCTGTCCAAGCAGCACAAAGGCGGCACGTTCACTCTGCAATTTTACACCCCAAAAGCATACGGTCAACGTGCAGAAAATGGCCAGAGCGCAGGGCCTTTTCCGACCGTTGTCAACTTCCACGGCGGCGGATTCGTGCTGGGCGCCGGAACCGACGACGCGCGTTTTGCGCGCCACGTGATGCAGACCGCCGGTGCCATCTTCGTGTCGGTAGAGTACCGCCTGGCGCCTGAGCACGCGTTCCCCACGGCGGTGGAGGATGGGGCGGACGCGTTGTTGTACCTGATCCGGAACGCGGCGTCCCTGCGAATCGACCCAGAGCGGCTGGCCACGTCGGGCTTCTCGGCCGGGGGCAACCTTTGCTTGACGTCGCTGCTCCGCCTGGGTGCGTACAAAGAGGAGGTGGCCGACGCAGCATCCTCCTCCCCGCTGCCGGCGCACAATGTCGTGGCAACGGCCACGTGGTATCCGGCGGTCGACTACAAGCTGAGCCGCGCCGAGCGTCGTGCCACCTGCACGCGGCCGGACCAGGCGCTGCCGTCGAATCTGACGGACCTCTTTGACGCATCCTACCTCTACCCACCAGACCTCGACCTCTCGGACCCGCACCTCTCGCCGTCCCAAGCGTCCGACGAGCGCCTGGCGCGCGACCTGCCGCCCTGCATCCTGTTCTACACGTGCGAGTGGGACATGCTCCTCCGCGAAGGCGAGCATCTGGCCAGGCGCCTCGGCCGCGAGCCGATCGGCAAGGACGTGTACTACAAGATGATTCCAGCCGTGCCGCACGGCTGGGACAAGAGCCCGAATCCCCTGACGCCGGCAGAGGGGTCCGAGGAGCTGTACCTGGATTGTTGTGAGAGGCTCAAGGCCGTCTTTGCGGAGAATACAACCCTGGCGCAATAGTCGTTGCATACTAGTCATTGCATAAACTTGACGGTTTTTTTATGTATATAGAAGTGGCATTTCGGTTTGGTATTTAAATTAAAGGCAAATGCAACTACCACTACACCGTCTCGTAGAAGACGAAAATAATTCCCTGGAGCCAATAACACCAGGGCGATCCGAAAGTAATAGAAAAGATGTCCAGCGCAGAAACAAAAAAACCAAAAAAAAAAAAAGAAAAGAAAGAACGCTGTAGCTAAGTGCATATCAATGAACAGAAATCAAGAAAAGCCGATATTGGGCAATCAGTGCGGTAGGTCATCCGAGTCCTCGCCCACCAACGGCACTCGTTCATCATGGCAGCTCCTGCCGTGGATACTCACCTTGCACCTCGTACACCGGCGACGGGTGCATCACCCCGCTCTTCATCGATAGCGGCGTGGACGAGGCATAGTACGAACCTTCGTGCATAGGGCCTGGCGACATACCCGGCGACATGCCTGGCACCATGCCTGGCGCCATGCCTGGCGCCATGCCTGGCGCCATGCCCGTGTTCCCAGACACGTTGGGCGGCGGTGCGTACTGCGCAACGGCTGCCTTCTGCTTCCGCTGCTTCATGAGCAGGAAGATGAACGCGCCCAGCAACGCCAGGCCGACCACGGAGGCGCCAACGGCAATACCGGCGATCGCACCAGACGACAGACCATTGGAGCTCTTGGCGCTTGACTTGTCTGATGCGCTGGATGCGCCCGACGAGCCGGTGCTGTCGGCGGTGTTGGTCGGGGACGAGGTGCCCTTGGAGCTGGAGCTGGAGCTGGGCAGATCGCTGGCCTTGTGGACGAGCTGGAACATGGGCGCGTACAGCGTAACGGTGTTGAAGTTGAAGAGGTCCACCTCCGTCGCGGTCACGGTGCTGGCAGGCACATTGGCAGAGCCGGAGCTGGACACGGTGCTGACTTGTGTCGTGGTCACTGTGGCGACGTTGCCCAACGTGTAGTAGCTCAATGCAATGCTGGAGCCGCCAGAGCATTGCACAGCCGGAAAGGAGCCGGTTGTCGCGATGCTGTAGCAGGTCTGGGCAGCTCCGTTGCCGCCGTAGCTACAAGCGTAGTCTCTGCAAAGCGTGTGTTAGCTATTTGTCGTAGTCGGAGACGGTGAGAGAGACAGCTGGCCACAAAACGAGGAAGAGCAAGGGAGATTACGTACGGAGGACAACAGCCAATACCCGTCTCGCCGGCCGAGACGGGGAATTGAAACTGGAAGCCGCCAATCGTCGTGCCCGTGGCCGAGCACGCCGTGTTGTAGCCAACGGGGCAGCTCAGGCCCGGGGAGTAGATGCCCCAGCCCAAGAGGGCAGCCTCGGTGGTGATGGTGTCGGCTTTTGTTCGTGGTGGCCAGCAGTTTGCATTGTCCTGGACGCCGGCGGCATTATTGGGGTTGTTGCTGCATGTTTGCGCCTGCCAGGCGACGAGGCAGTACGAGCACTGGATGACGTTGTTTGTGCAGCTGGCTGGGTAGGTAAACGGCGTGGTCAGAGGACCGAGGTTCGTTCGTGCCGTCGCCATCGCGAGAGACGATCAGCTTGTTTTCGTGTCGGCGGAGGCGGTCGAAAGCGAGGCGAGATGATGGACGAGACGGGATTGTAGGTGACAACCCGTTGGAAGGACTCAGGACCCTTGGGAGACTTCGGTGGAGCGATGGAAGACGGCGAGAATTCCACAGAGAGGCAAATAAAAAATCGACAAACGTCGACAAAGAAGTGATCAGCAAAACGAAACGACTTGTATTGTCGATAGAGAATAGAACACAATGCCACGCGTCGACTCGAAATATGGCCCGGGGTATTAATGAAGAGGAGAGAGAAAATGGAACAGAAAAGGAGAAGTGATGACGGGAGGGAGAGAAGAGGCACGGAACAAAAGGTCAGACACGAGGAGTACGAAGGACTTCTCACCACAGAACGACCAGTGGTGCGACACTCCGTACTTTGCAGAGGGTACTTGTAAAATCGGGAACAATGCGGAGAAAAAGAAAATAAAAAAGGAGAAACAAGAAAACCAAAAACCAGAAACCAAAAAACAAGCACAACAAGCACAACACTGAGACCACGAGGAAAGGAAAGGTAGAGCAGAATGACCAGCTTAAACTCTTTTGCAAGGGCTTGCACAGGCGGGCTTGGTAACAAAGAACTTCTTTCCACCGGAGGACGTCGCACTCCGCAGTCCGCGGAGACTCCCATGTCTCGTGTTTGTAACCCTCGAAATCCTTCAACCCACAGACCACGTCTATCGCGTCGCCATGGTGTGGCACTGTTGCCGATGTGGCGTACAACAGAGTCGTAGATGATTGGTCTCGGCCCTGCTGGAGCTTGGCCCCTTTCTTCCCCTCGGGAGACCAAATGCAACCACAATTTGAAAAAACAGGATGCGATGCAGAACGACGCCGAAACACACGCAAGAGCCACACGCAGTGCACCATTAGGAGATGAAAATGCTAGTGGAAAAATTGCCATCAGAACTCTCGAAAATACAACATACAGTTGGTCAGCAATTGAGCTGAAATAGGCTAGCCATTGTGCTGCTGCTCAGTACGGGGTTTTGAAAGCTTTCCTTTTCCCCGGTTTGAACGACTGGACACTCCTAATTTTGGTTGAAGCTGGGGCTGTGTGCCGCTGGAGCCCTTGGGAAAAGGAGGCGCAGGGGTGGTTTTCTTTATGAATCGCTGCTGTCAATCTCTTGTGAGCTTTTGTTGACATCCCAACATCCTTGAGGCTTAGTGCACGGTTTGCAAAGGGACTAACCGTTACAAGCGTCTTCTTTAGCCGCCGAGGAGGCTTGTGCTAAAGTGCCCTGGGCCAATAAGATGGGGCATCGGTCCATCCTGGCGGCCTTGTGGATCCATACTAATCTGCATCGTGTATCCGCTGCCTGCCGCCAATTGTCGGTGCATGCTCCTGAACATTAATGAAAGAAGAAAATAAGCCTCCTTTGACGATAGCCGAGTAACATGGGTGCGCCTATGGTCACAAACTGAACAGACCACATGCTTGGGACCGGATTATTTGAATTGTTGTTCCCGGCTAGCCTGGGCTGCGGCCTGCCACGTCAGGAGTCGTCTTGCTCTCCGGCGGCAAACCGCTTCGGCTGACCTTATGAGCGGCAGTTTTCTGAAAAGGACGACGTAGCGCCGCGCCTGTCGTCCGTCGTCTATCGCCTGCCGTCTGTCATCTCTTCTGGGCCCCTTCCAAAATCCGTCCCTGTCACCGAGCAAGCGGTTCGCTTGTGCGTCATATCGCCACATCGAACCAACACTCCAGGCACGTCTGGCCGCAGGTATGGTCTGGCCCGATCGGGTCCTGCAAGTTGATCCTTGGGAGGTCGAAAAGAGCGCTCGGTGTCCAATGGCCCAGGTCCGCCATTCTCAAAACTCCCAATTCTGGCCACACCCTTTCTTCTCCTTCTCCTTCTTCTCCTTCCAATTTCGACCTTGCGTCTCTTCCTTTGTTCCTCCGTCTTTCTCGTCTCCTCAGAAGTCGAGCGTTGTGCGTCATGGCTCGCTTCCTTTTGCTACTTTGTGTCTAGTAGCCTCGTCCGGCTCGTCTCGCAGCCGCCGCTCGCTCTGGCTCTCTCCAGTCATATCAGCAAGCTAAGCGCGACAGAGATGAGTGCCACCAGGACCCAGTTTAAGAAAATACCAGGGCGACTGGCTGATGCTATCGTACCTCGCTCTTTTGCAGTGCCTGTTCCGTTGGAGGATGCTGCCAGGCAAGAAACGTGCGTGTTGGCTGAGAAAACGCCACCGCCAGGTGAGAATTGGATCCACGTCAGGAGCACAGGCCAGACGTGGCCCAGAGCCGATTCCAACGCGTCCGTGTCGCCAGTCGACGTCGGCGGGCTACCCCAGGCGTAGAATCGGCCATCGGCCAGGGTCTTTTCGTCGAGGACTGCGACACGATTTGGTTAGTAGGAGTTTGCGAGTCGAGGCAAAGCGCTCTCGATGGCCGACGTTCGAATGAAACACTGCTCACCGACGACGGTTCCATATTGCCACCGTTGCGCATAAAGTACGGTGCACAACGCTCGGGAATGGTCATGTTGAAGCAGTCGCCCGCCACGTTCATGCCGTGCACCAATGCGGCCTCGTTCACTGCCGCGGCACATTCGTCCGTCAACCAAGCGCCGCAATTCCCGTTGTTCTGGCCGTCTCCGTCGCCACCCTCGACGACGGCAGACATATTGACGTACGGGAAGACCGTGGCGCACAGTTTCCAAGCCGTCGCGTTGAGGTACTCGACACCGCCTGGCGCCTGAAGCCACAGCGTCGTCGCGTCGATCACCTGTGCTCTGTCGACGTCCGGATCTTCGGCGTCTCTCAGAGGCACATTGTCCGCGACAGCCACGCCCAGCTGCCAGCCATCCACGGCCGATCCGTTACCACTCGGGCCAAAGCCCTCGGGTGCCGACAGGTTGTATCCGGGCACCCACACGGCCGACTGGCGAACCGCGCGCATAATGGAGGTGTTGAAGAGGCCCGGAGGGATGCCATACGGCGCGGCTAGCGTCAGATCGCCCGCGACCGCAGATTGCGCGTGCGCCCAGCCGACAAAAGACGCTGACAATGTTAGGAGCCCGAGAGGAGCTGCTCGTAGAAACGTCGAGAGAGACATCGTAAAGGTACTTGTGTAGGGTCGTTGTCGCGAGAATTGCAAAGGATGCCAGGCACGAGCCGGGTTTGTAAAGCTTGTTTCCTGCCGACAGTAACGACAACGTGGTATATGTATGTCGATGTCAAGGCGCGCAAACAGGTAGCTCTTTTGCGTGACATCACAACACACTCATTTTGGCTGGCACGCGTCACACGATGAGGCCTTCGTATCCCATGATGACGTGGACTGACAGGTAAGGAAGGAGCGGTCGAGACAGGCTGCTCGCGCTCTTGTCCAAGACATCGCGGTTGCCACAACGGTCCAACTGTCACTGTTCTAGTACGCTGTGTAGCCCCAACTGAGGAGGCCAAATCGGGAAAGAGCAACTCGCGCAGCTTACACAAGAACGCCCACGAAGGGCTGCAACTCGAACAAGCAAGTACTCCTGCTCCTACCGGTCTGCAATTGCCGAAGAGCACCTGGCTTATTGGGCCAAACCAGCCTTTTTAGCAAACAAAACAGTGTCACCGTGATGAGGAAGGTCCGACCAGGTGCTATTGCCAACATCGGCTTCCATCACGAACATACCTCGCGCTCACACGCGCAGTCATATATGACCGCGAATCAATGTTCTGCGACAAGCAGCCTCACTGCAAACTGCCGCGATAACATTCCCCACTATTCACGTTCTATCACGTGGAGGCTAGTTGGGAGCTAATGACAATAGTAATTCGTACGGCGCCGTAACTTTCAATTTGTCACGCCAGGCCCTCATACAATGGGAAAGCGCAATCGGCAATCGGACACAAAACGTACCTAAAAGGCCCGTCGTTGCACCGGCTCCGATCGTCAACAACACTTGAATGAGTGCACGGCGGCCCTTTCCCAATTGCCGGACAAATCGAAGTGAGGTTTCATCGCACTTTCCTATTGTGAATTCGACGCTGACGCCAGCACAAGTACGACGCAATTAACTGTGATAGCAAAGGACAGTCAGCGGTGGTTGTCAATGGCAGAAAGAGCCAACAACACCTAAATATCACACCACCTATAAGTTGACATAGAACAAAGGGAAACGTCTCATGACCCAATCATTGCTATCTCTCTGGTTTTCTCCTGATATAAAAGAGAGGACGCACCAACAACAATCAAATCGTACCGTCCTCTGGACAGTCGTCTTTCGATATCTCGGTCTGTAACGACAGCTTCCTCTCCACAATGACTGCCGAAGGCTCGATTCTCGTTACGGGGACCAATGGGACCCTGGGTGCCAAGATCGTTGCTACGATCGTCAGCAACACCGCCAACGCCGCCAAGTATCACGGCCTCTATACTGTACGCAACGTCGACGGTGCCTCGAACCTCAAGTCTGTGCTCGCCAAGTCGCCCAAGGTGCACAAGCATGACGTCCTGGCTCTCGACCTTGACCGGCTGCAGTCGGTGCGCGACGTGGCCAACGACATCAAGATGCGTGTGGCCACTGGCAAACTGCCTCCCATCCGCGCGCTGATCTGGAACGCGGGCTTCCAGGAGCAGTCCACCCAGACGTTCACAGAGGACGGCTATGACACTACGTTCCAAGCCAACTATCTGTCACACTGGCTGTTGACCGTGCTGCTTCTCGGCAGTATGGACAAGGAGAACGGCCGCGTCGTCGTCGTGGGCAGCTGGTCTCACGAGTATGACGTACTCTACGCCTGGTATCTTTGTCCTGCTATGGTTCCATGTACTGACTTGCTGACTGGCTTGGCTGCATTTTAGTACTGCCGACAAAAACAATGAGTTCGGCGGCCAGACCTTCTATTCCGACGAAAAGTGGAAGACATTGTTCACGGACACAAAGTCGCTTGCGTATGGCACTTTCAGTCCGCCCGACGGCGACCCAACTGGCGATGCTGGTGTACGGCGCTACGGTGCCGCCAAATTGTGCGAGGTGATGATGATGTACGTGACATGCTCAAGTACGACAGCCACAGATACCCTGGTAACAAATGAGAAAAAGAGACACTGACAGAACGCAGTCGTGAAATGCAGGAACGATTCGACAAGGACCCGGCCCTGTCCAACCTGTCCATACTTGGTGTCGACCCAGGTGCGATACCCACGAATCTCCTCCGTCGTAGCAACTTTTGGTTCGCCAAGCCGCTCGCTGCCAAATTTATCACGATCCCATTGGGTTACGCCTGGTCCATGGTAGAGTCGAACTCGGTGATGCGCCCTGTATCCAAGTCTGCGCGGGATGTCTTGCGGGCTGCCCTTGAGTCGTCCCCGCCTCCGATGAGCGAACACCCCAAGGGCCTGTACTTCAACGGCAATGCACCGATTCTGCAGGGCGCCGAGGCCCGTGATCCGGCCAAAACGGGCGCCCTGTGGCGGGACAGTGTCAAATTTACTGGCATTGACGAGCACGACACGGTTCTCAAGGCATGGAACTAAACATCCAGAGATTGCTTTGTTGTTCCCGGTGGCTACGTGCGTGAGGGCAAAAGATAGAGAGATGTCATTGTTTGGTCATTGGTTTCATTTTGATACTGCTTTCTGTTTTCTCCGTTTTATTTTGGTATCTTGTTTCAGTCTTTAATATGGACCGCTGTGCACTTTTGGACAAAGGAAACTCGAAGAATGTCTATTTTCAGACGCGTACAACGCCTCGACCGTCTTATGCTGCGTCCTCGTCTGGTAACTGCACAGGAGCCGATTCCTTCTTCAGCGGCTTCTCGCCAAGGACAAGCGAGGCAATGAAGGCAAGCGACGAGAAAGCAAGGGAGACAACTGGTGGTGCTGGTTAGTTTATTGTCTGGCTTAAGTTTGGAACAAAATTGTTCGAGGAACACGTACTGTGACTCCACCACAGACTATCGACGTACGCGTCAATGACGGCCCCCTTCACTGCGCCGGTCAGAGTTGCAATGTACTCGATGTTCGAAATGGAGCTCTTGTAGATCTCTTCCCGCACCGCGGGATCCAGGTTCAGCTCGAGGAGCTTTCTCGACAGCGCCGGCTTCAGGGTGACACCCATGATGCTGCTGGCACATGCAAGGCCGAGGATCATGGCGCAGGTGCTTGACAGGTACAATATCGAAATGGCCGGTGCCATGTGGCCCGGCTCGACGACGGCCTGGAGGGAGATGAAGACGGCGCTCTGGACAATGCCAGCACCAAAACCGCTGCAGATGTGTCAGTTTGTTATTGCTTGCCTGGAACAATAAAATCAACTCTGTCGTCCGGTCGAACGTACCTTGGAATGATGTACAGCGACTCGAGCCAGTTTGTGTGACCATTCCAGCGGAACAGCAGTGATGTATACGACAGGCTGGCCGACAGGGCCGCCAGCCGAATCATGTTGCGATACCGGCCGGTCTTCTTGATATACAGGCCCGAGACGATGCCTCCAATGGCGTTACCGGCCACGGCCGGGAACAGATGGGCACCGGCCTCGGTGTTGGACACTTGCGCCGACGCCTTAAAGTACAGCGGCACGGTGAACATGAGGCCGAGCTGGGCCGAGAGCTGGGCCATCTGGATGAAGATGGACAGGTTGGCGTCGCGGATGTGGAAGATGCCGAGCGGGACAACGGGGTCGACGGCGCGCTGTTCGGTGCGGATGAAGAGGACGAAGAGGACGACGGACGCGGCGAACAGCGAGGGGACGATGGGCGAGGTCCAGGCGACCTTGGAGCCGCCAATCTCCATGGGCAAGAGGAAGGCCAGAAGCGTGAGGGCCAGCAGCAGGGAGCCCAAGAAGTCGACACGCTTGAGCCTGTCCCGGTTGGAGACACTGTTGTCGGTGGCGACGTGCTTGCCGCCCTTCAAGTTGCGGGAGTTTGACGGCAGGTAGATTTGGCAGAGGACGGTGGCGACCAGCATGAACGGAACCTGGCCAATAAAGGACCTGGAAAAAGACAAAGGTAAGTACGGTTGCACACGATGCGACGATGGCGAGGACACCAAAAAGTACAGAAGCTCAGCTCACCATCTCCAGCCGATGACATCCGCGAGCCAGCCACCGACGGGGCCACCCAGACTGCGGCCGGTCGTCGCAGCGACGTTGATGTATGCTCTCCAAGTGGCAACTTCACGGATGGGAAGAAGGTCTGTTTGCATGTTAGTTATTGACACGGCCGAGAGAATCATGGGAGGGGAAGAGGGGAGAACGCTTCGTTTTATTTCTTCTTCGCTAATACGTACCAGAAATCAAAATAGAAACGAGAGCCGTCATGCCGGCACCGCCGATACCCGAGATGACACGGCCCAGGATGACCTGGAACATGGACTGGCCGATGCCACTGGTTGTAGAGTTAGAGACACGTCGGGTCGAAATCATACACGAGCCCGACTCTTTCCGGGCCAAAACTTACACCAAGCCACTATTCGACCACATTAGCCTTCTGTCTATGTTCACAGCAATGGACATTTTGATCCAGAAGAGGGGCTGCTTTCGCTTACCAGCCAAGGCCGAAGATGATATACGAGGCCAAAATCAGGTTCTTGCGGCCATAAATGTCGCTCAGCTTGCCGTACATGGTCTGTGTCGCGGCCGATGCCAGGATAAATCCGCCAAACAGCCAACTGGAGCTCTCGAGGTCGTTGAACTCGGAGGCAATGACGGGGTGCGTGGCCAGCATCAGCGAGCCGTCGGCGTTGGACACGACGACGCCGATCATGAGGACAAGCACGACGCGCAGAATTGTGGCCGCGTTGGACGCGGCGCCTTTGGGCGGGCCCGTGTTCTGGACGGACGAGGCCTCGGCCTCAATGTCCCGCAGCAGAGACGAGTCGGTCGACACGGACTCGGTGAAGCTGGGCGCGCGGTAGCTGCCGGCGTGGGTAGGACTGTGGCCCTCATCGCTCTCGCCGCCGCTGCCGGACTCGACGACGCGCACGACGGCGCCACCCTTTTTGGCGACGAAGGATGAACTGGCGAGCTGTGGAAAATTGAGAAGCGGCGACCGCTCATCGGGCTCGACCAGCCCTGTCTGGATGGGCCGCGGCATGGTGTGTTGCAGTGCTGCTATGGTTGTCGCCAAATGTGTGGTTCAAAACAAGCGATACCGTCTTTCGTTGGTGTTTACTAACAACGCCTGTATAAGGATGATGGACAAAGGGGTGAATGAACACGGTCGAAACAGGTACGTAAAGGTGAGCCGAGTTGCAACAGAGCCACAACAGAAACTGACGAACAGAAGAAAGATATAGCAAACACGAGATAAAGACGGAGGGTTCGAGATATGGGAACAGAGCGAATCCGAACCAAGAAGCAAATCCAAGAAACAAATGCCAACAGTTAACGCAGTGCGACGAAAAATGAACCGAGCAGGGATTGGGCGGAATGGGAACGTCGGAGACTGCGCTTATCAAAGTTCCGACAACGGCAATAAAAAGGCTTTGGTGATGATCGAACATCGACCATAGGAGGCGCCCCAAATGAAGGGCAAGGCGAGAAGAATGGGAGAGAATCCATCCCGCCCGCCCCTCGTACGAGTCAACACCCAGGATGCACTCTTACGCGAGCACACAATCGCACAAGCACACCATGTTCCAGGAACAATGAAGCTGCAGGTCGCGGCCGCATGCGCTTAGCGGGCGAGTGGAGTTCGACTAACATGACATGACCGATGATATGAAACTACGAAGCCATACAAGGCGCGAGAGCGAGCGGGAATAACACAGCAGCGTAGACGGCAACCAACGCGGACCTGCCGACACAACCGGGAGCAAAAATACACGGAAGAAGAAAACTGTAGCGATCTCATGCCGAGTCGTTGTTGATCAATGACGGTGAGACATGAAGCTGGCGGATGGGACCAAGCTGCCGGCGAGCCATGTAAGTCCCTGGAATTGCTCGTTTCTTTTGATGGGCGGCGTCTTCCCTTTCAAGTCAAGCCGAACCTCTCTTGTTCGTCGTCTTTCCTAACATTTCTCATGGGAATTTTTGGCTTTTTCTTCGACGCAGTACGACGTACGACGGACGCTATACACAGCAGCTTGCCAAACAGCATTGTTGGTTCCACAGCACAAGACGAAAACGTTCACAACCCACAGAATGGCGACATTGACCCCAAATACCAGGGCTGCAAATAAAGAGCTTTTTAGCGGGCTGGCGCTCGTCTTGCTCTTTAGTTGGAGAACGAACACGACTAACACCGGGCGGCTGCCCCCACTCAACTGTGGGTCGCCGCTGGCCGCACATTAGTGAAGCTTCCGTGATGGACGGATCGCAGCACGCCATCGGGACACCCAGCGCTCGTTACCATTCTCTGCACGCATGGCAGAGCGTCGGTGGAGGTGTGGCATATGTCATGTAGGGCCATGACCAGCGACAGCGATGAGACGCGTTGACATGACCAAAAACCAAAACTATAGCATGTCGGCGACCGGGCTTTGAAAGTCACCGCAGACTGGCAGGGTCCGGACAAGCTCCAAGACGACAGAGGTTTGGCTTGGCCCGCGCTTCGATTCACAGTGCTGCGGTCGAAGCTGCCATTGAGTTACGACAGCAGGCCGGCCAGCTACGATGACGGCAGTGTCTCGACTGTGGAGGCCGGTATAAGACGCTGGAACGCACCAGTTGCGAGGCCGCACTTTTTTGTATTTATTTTGTCTCGTCTTTTGTATCTCGTTCTTTTCTTTATGCTTCTTGTCTTGTCTCTTTTGTTGATTTTGGTCATTCACAAGCTACCTCTGCATTGACCATCAAGCCTTGCCGCTTCACCCACACTCCATCATGCAGCTCACGCTCGCTGCCTTCCTGGCTGCGGCCACATCGGTGGCGGCCGCGGGCGCTGCTGGGGATGGCCGTGCTGGCCGCCTCATTCAGGACGACGCCGCGCATAGCCAGGCCCGGCTCGGCCGCCTGGGCCCGGACCTGCTCGAGGAGGTGGCCGAGCACCACCACAAGCACGGTAGCGGCACGCGGCCCAACTTTGTGTTCATCATCACCGACGACCAGGACCTGCACATGAACTCGCTCGACTATCTCCCGTACGTCAAGAAGCACCTGCGCGACCAGGGCACGACCTTCCGGCGCCACTTCTGCACGACGGCCGTGTGCTGCCCCTCGCGCGTGTCGCTCTGGACGGGCAAGCAGGCCCACAACACCAACGTCACGGACGTCAGCCCGCCGCACGGCGGCTACCCCAAGTTCCTGAGCCAGGGCCTCAACGACAACTACCTGCCCGTGTGGCTGCAGGCCGCCGGCTACGACACGTACTACACGGGCAAGCTGTTCAACGCGCACACCGTCGAGAACTACAACTCGCCCAAGGCCAACGGCTGGACGCAGAACGACTTTTTGCTCGACCCCTTCACCTACCAGTACCTCAACGCCAGCTACCAGCGCAACGACGAGCCGCCGCGCAGCTACGAGGGGCAGTACACCGTCGACGTGCTGGCCGAGAAGGCCTACGGCTTCCTCGAGGCCGCCGCGGCGCACCGCAAGGCGGACGGCACGCCGTTCTTCCTAGGCATCGCGCCGGTGGCGCCGCACAGCAACGTCGAGATTGGCACGGCCCTGGGCGACATTGACGACATCCTCGACGCCAAGTTTTCGGCGCCCGTGTCGGCCAAGCGCCACGAGCACCTGTTTGCGGACCTCACGGTGCCGCGCACGCCGCACTTCAACCCCGAGGCGCCTTCGGGCGTCAGCTGGGTGAGCCGCCTGGACCGCCAGACGCAGGAAAACGTCGACGCCAACGACCACTTCTACCGGCAGCGCCTGCGCGCGCTGCAGTCGGTCGACGAGCTCGTGGACGGCGTGTTTGCGCGCCTCGACCGCCTGGGCCTGGCCGACAACACGTACGTGTTCTACACCACGGACAACGGCTTCCACATTGGCCAGCACCGGCTGCAGCCCGGCAAGGAGTGCGGCTTCGAGGAGGACATCAACATCCCGCTGATTGTGCGCGGGCCCGGCATCCCCGGCGGCCGCGTGTCGCAGGCCGTGACCACACACGTCGACCTGGCGCCGACGCTGCTCAAGCTGGCCCGCGCGCCCGCGCGCGTCGACTTTGACGGCGAGCCCATCCCGCTGACGGCGCACGAGCTCGATGTGGCCGCCGTCGACAACGGCGCGGGCCGCCACGAGCACGTGACGGTCGAGTTCTGGGGGTTCGCCGCGGCCGAGGGCGACTATGGCTTCAACGGCGGGTCGCGCATCGTCACCAACAACACCTACAAGGCCGTGCGCATCATCGGCCGCGCCTACAACTTGTATTACTCCGTCTACTGCTCCAACGAGCACGAGCTCTACAACCTCGACACCGACCCCTACCAGCTGCACAACCTGCTCGGCCACAGCGGCGGCCACAGCGGCGGCCACGCGCCGCCCACGCACCTGCTCGACGTGCCCCTCGCCAAGGTCGTCGCCCGCCTCGACAGCCTTCTGCTTGTGCTCAAGTCGTGCAAGGGCCGCGCCTGCGTGCGCCCCTGGGCCGAGCTGCACCCGGACGGCGACGTGCGCAACCTGCGCGAGGCGCTGGCGCCCGAGTTTGACGCCTTTTACGAAGTCGAGCAGAAGCGCGTGTCGTACGCGCGCTGCGAGGCCGGCTACTTTGTCGATGCCGAGGGCCCGCAGTTTGAGACGGACGGCATCGCCTACCGCCACGGCGCCAAGTGGCACGAGTGGGTGTAGGTGTAGGTGTAGGTGTAGGTGTAGGTGCAGCTGCAGCTCGGTCGGGAGAATGGAACAGTCCCCCCTCCCTCTCCAGAGGTGGGCAAATTACCGTTGCACCTTGACTGCCGTGCTTGGCGGACGGCAGGGGAAATGAAAGAAGAAAATAGGGAGAAAGAAACATTGCGGACAGGAAGAAAAGAGCCGGAGACGTTGAAGCGATGCAAAGGGCCTAGATCTCGGTCCACCCTTGCTGCCCACATGTTTTTACGTTTAACCTGTACAAAAGAATTCAACTACAGACTGCTTATTGTCAAAGACACGTCGTAGCTTGCCAAACAGAATAGCCAGAAAGCCCCGTACTGCTGGCCAAGGTGCTGGGCAAAGGTTGAAGACGATGGAAAGAGGAGACGGCTAATTGGGCGCACGTGTAGGTGAGAGTAGAGCGGCCAAGTCCCCTCTCTGCTTTAATAAAAGGACGTCAATGTGCTTTTGTGATGTGGTCACGATGGATGAAAGCAAAACAGACATCGTTTGGTCTTCTTTTTTTGTTTATTTTATTTTCTACGTCCACTTCTTCACTTCATCGACAAATATGGCACCCTTGGTACAGTTGCTTGCCTCTCTTCTGCTGGCACTGCCCTTGGCGACGGCTGTCCCTGCATCGTCGCCATCGTCATCGCCATCGTCGTCATCATCTACGCCCAATGGGGTCGTCAGCATGCCCCTCCGCAGGGTCGTCGGCCCTCGACCCGACGCCGTCGTTGGCGCTCGCCGTGCGGCCATGATGGCCCAGCCTTGGACGGCGGCGGAAAAGGCTGCACAGAAGCACGAGGCCGCGCCCGCGCCGCCGCGCCAGGCCCTCATCGACCGCAACGAGTACTACCTGGCCGACCTGGCCATCGGCACGCCGCCCCAGCCCGTCTCTCTGCTCGTCGACACCGGCGGCTGGGTCACGTGGGTCAATCCGGACTGCGCGCGCGCCGTCCGCGAGGCCGAGTGCAGCGCCCTGCCGGCCTACAACCTGTCTCTGTCGAGCCCGCCGCCGACCGCCGTGCACGACCTCGACCAGATTGTCTACTACGGCGACGTGAGCATGGGCGCCGCGCTCGAGGGCTACGCGGACGTCTTTACCTGGGGCAATGCGACGCACGTCCGGCAGCCCTTTGGCGTCGCCAACGAGACGGTCGGCCTGACCACGGGCATCCTGGCGCTGGCGCCCGACGCGTCCGCGGGCTTCAACTCGGCCGTCAGCAACTTGAGCGTCGTGGCGACGCTGGCGCAGCAGGGCGTGATTGCGTCGCGCGTCTTCAGCCTGGCCTTTGGGCGCGGGCTCGTGGCCGTCGCGCAGCACGTCGGGCACTTGGTGTTTGGCGGCGTCGACCGCAACCAGTTCCGGGGCCCCCTGGGCCGCACGCCCATCCTGCCGCGGGACGACAGCGTCGACGGGTGGCGGTACTGGCTGGCCGTCACGGAGGTGCGGCACAACAAGCCGGGTGGACGCAACGCGACGGCCAAGTGGACCACGCCGGCTGCACAGCGCACGACGACAGCGACGACAACCACCACCACCACGACCGTCATACCGTCGGGCCATGCCTCGTACATGGTTGACAGCGGCACGACGGGCATCTACGTGCCGCGCTCCGCCTACGACGCCATCATGCTCGACGCCAACCTGACGCGCAATCCGCTGCGCTTCGAAGGCTTCCCAGACGTCGACTGCAAGATGGCCGACCTGCCGGGATCGTTGTCGTTTACCTTTGCGCCAGTGGCCAGCGCCAACAAGTCCGCCGCCGCCAACGTCACCAACTCCTCCACCCCGGCCGCACCGGTGACCATCGACGTGCCCTACTCGGTGCTCATCCACCCGGAGCGCAACCTCATCACCAACGACACGAGCATGTGCTTCTTTGGCCTCAGCTCCGGCGGCCCCGCGGACGACGACGGCGACATCTTCCCGATCCTCGGCGTCGAGTTCTTCAAGGCCGCCTACGCCGTCTTCGACTGGGACAACCAAGAAGTCTCACTCGCCCAGGGCGCCAGCTGTGGCAGCGAGCCGGACTTGGTGCCGGTCGGCAAAGGGCCCAATGCCGTGCCCAGCGTCACGGGAAACTGCAAGTAGTAGGGGGGACAGGGAGCACAAAAATTGTATTCGGAAAATGGCGCGACAGCAGGAGGATTTTTCGGGTTGCCATAGAAAACTCTGATATCCTTGGAAGAAAGAAAAAAGAAAATAAAAGAAAGAAAAGAAAGTGAATGCCTTGCTGTTGCTTCCACTCCGAGAGTCATCTTGCATCATGCAAGACTCAAAAACAGGTCTCGTAGCTTGGGGAAGATGGGCGTCCCCAGACCGGAGACAGGGTCCCAGCCGGCTGTCGCGACAAACCCGGTTGTACCGCAGCCCGGGTTGCTGCCCTCCACAACGTCCGTAAACACCTCCGGGTGCTTGTACAGCACCGGCTGCACGTGGCCCACGGCCGTCTTGTTGGCCCGCAGCCGCGCCTCGTTGACCTGCGTCAGCACCGCCGCCCAGACCGGCGCCGCCACCGACGTGCCGCCCCCCTTGGCCAGGCCGCCCCGGTAGACCATGTAAAAGTTGCTGCCCAGGGCCGACACGTCCGGGTACGCCCGCCCGCTCTTGTTGAAGTTGGTGCCGCTGTTCTCCTGGACGGTGTCGCCGCTGTAGCCGCCAAAGTCCAGCTTGGCCCGGCCCAGGTACGTCGCCACGGCCGACTGCTGCCAGTCCGGCGTTGGGTAGATGTTGGAGAACCCGCCGCCCGTGTAAAAGTCCGTCGGCCCAACCTCGACAAAGGTGCCTTTCGACGCGGCGGCGGCGGCCTGCAGCTTGGTCGCGCCCACAGACAGTGCATACGGGCAGCTGGCCAGCGAGACCGGCGCGAATATGTCGTGCTGGGAGCCCAGGCAGCCCTTGTGCGCGTCGCCGCCGTTGGCCGCATGGCCGCCCACGCCGTTGTCGCCCGCCGCCACGACCACCGTGACGCCCTGCAGGCCCAGCTTCATCAGCTCGAGGCACTGCCGTCGCAGGTAGTTGGCTGGCAGGCTGTTCTCGGCGTTTTCGTACGAGATGCTAATCACATTGGTGGGCTTGAACGTGCCGCACATGAGCTGGCCCTGGTAGGATTGGCCGCCACCGTTGGGATTCGGGTAGACCGGGTCGATGCAGGCCGCATCCTGGCAGTTGCCTGTCTGGCCATATGCATTGAGTGTGCAGTAACTGCCATCAATGGCATCAAAGAAGGCTGTGACCGGCCGTGAATGCATGGCCATATCAGCATGACACCACTGCTAGAACAAAACTAGAACAGACGAGGGGCTTCGAACTCACTGTTGAATATGCCCGTCACCTTGCCCGAGCCGCTGGTCATGGCATTCTCGTAGTATTCGTCGTCCACCTGGAAGAGCACCGTCTTTTGCGGCCACACCAGTGGCATGGCCACCTCAAAGTCCATGTTCGCCTCGGCACCGGCCGTGTCCTGCGTCGCGGCCGGCCCTGTCGCGCCATCAATGGCCCGCAGTTCGGGCTTCGTGCCGTCGGGAATCTCGGGCGCCGTGTACGAGAAGAAAATATCCAAGTCGTCTTGCGAGTAGTGCTGGCCGGCTGTCTCAAAAATGCCGAGCTGGTTGCCCGACACAGGCGTCACCTTCGACAACGAAGAGGGCACCGGAAGGCCGTACTGCGCTCGGATGCACTCAAACGTGGCAAACTCGTCACAGCCGCCTGTGACCCAAGGCGCTCCCGCTGTCGTTGCTTTCGTGGCTGCCGTGGCTGCCGCCTGCTCGGTCCTGCGCTGCAGCCGGGCTCCGTCTGTATCATTCTCTCGCCGACGCAGACCCAGGGCCTTGACGCCGTCGCTGAATCCGTACGACGCCAGTTTGGTGCCGGGCGTGATGTAGTCAATGTGCTGCTGCAGCGCCGCCGGGACATGATATCTGTTGATCAGCAAAAGGGGACTCCTTGTTCCAACGAGACAAGTGAATTGACCTACTCTGGACATGCCGTCACGTTGACACCACTTTGTATGTGCTCGTAGCTGTAAAACTTGGCCTGCAGCAGCAGCTCGGCCTCGTCGACGTGCGCGTCAAACTGCAGCCACTGCCGGTTGGCGGACAGAGACACGCGGTCGGCAGCGACTCCGCCCGACTCCACCACCCATCTCTTGACAGCTTCGACGGCCTCGTCGGCGGGGGCAAACAGGTCCGCCACAGCGGTCGCCGTCAGGTGCTGGCCGTAGAGGGGCGAGGCCGGATCGGCGCGGTCCATGAGCATGCTGTGTGCGTTCTGGACGGCGGCGTCGGCCTGTACGAAGCCGATGCGCATGGGCAGGAGATGATCCGTCGAGGCGACGGCCAGGCGATTGCGGCGCTTCCATCCTTGGATGTGCCGAGGCTCATGCCACTCGTGGCGAACGAGGTCGTGACGAGGTCGCATTCGTGTTGCCGCTGCGTCTGCTAATGTAGACAACAAGACGGAACATAGAGCGACAGATGTGGCTGATAGGATCTGCATCGTGTCGAATTCAGCGGCGTTGCGCGAGACAGTATTGCAGAAACGTTGCTGTAAGAATCATCAATGCCTCACGAGGATACAGTCGACGAGCAGGCTCAAATACTCCCCCCCTTTTTCGTCATCATTTTTCATCGTAGACGCAGAATATCCGGCATATGGCCAACAGTGGGCAAGCGAAAGAAAGAGAACAGAAGAATTGAGGAGAGAGGAGCACCAACATCTGCTTCGCGGTTAAATAAATCGTCCATTTGCACGCTTAACTCTGCCGCCGCTGGTGCAGCAAGCAATATGTCCAAATTGCATAGTGTACTTTGCATGGCGAAAGTCAAGGATAAATGGAAAGAAACAATCAAATCAAAAATACATAACCAACAAACATGGAGCAAAGATCGGAACCCAAGGTCGGCTTGTGTGTAAGAGGCAAGAAGAACTGGAACATTATATAATAAGAAGTAAGGTTTAACTGATGTACCCAAAAAGACGAAAAAAGGAAGGGAAAAAAAAAACTGGTAAATGAAAGTGGCGTTGATGAAATCGTTGAAAATAAAAGAAACAGTTCCCCGAGGTATAAAAATGCAATAAATCGCACAGTGTATAAACAAAACAGACGCTACTCCCACAGCCGTCGGGCTCCTTTTTGTTATTGTTTTCGTGATTTATTGTCCGACACTGCTTCTCGCCTCTTTTGACGTTTTCGACCGTTGTCCACGCATACAGCCCACAATCTACGACGGCTATGCAAGCTCGTGCATCTCGCCGTGGTGGTTGGCGTTAAGTTCTTGCGCACCACCGACAGCATTGCCGCCGGCCTCGTGGATCGTCGCCGGCACCTGCGCTTGGCCACCGGGAGCGAGGCCACCAACGGCCGTGTTGCCCGTAGTCTGTGGGCTGATGGCGCCCGTGTATGGACTGCTGCCGGCAGCGCTGACGCTGCTCATGCGGTAGTCCTGCACAGAGGAGCCAACAGCCAGGGGGGAGGTCGAGTCGGTCCGGTCGGGAGAGGGCGCAACAGCGGCAGCGTAGTATGGCTGCTGTGGCACGAACGGCTGGCCCTGGCCCTGGAAGTAGGGAGGCTGGCCCGGTTGCGGGCTGCCTTGGCCGGCGTAGGCGTACTCGGCGCCCTTGGTTGGGTCGGCGGCATAGTACTGGTTAGGCGGCGGTGTGTTGACCTGAGACATACCAGGCGAGCCGGCGACGGCAGCGCCCGCCAGAGGAGCACCATCGGGACCAACACCAGGGGCAGGAGCACCCGCGGCGGCGGCACCAGGACCGGCGGGGCCATTCTGCAAGCCGTTGTTCTTGCGCTGGGAGCGGAGGACGAAGAAGATAGCCGCCGCGATCAAGGCCAGACCGGCAACGCCACCGACAACACCACCAGCAATGGCACCGGTGTTGGTGCTCTTCTTAGGTGCGGGACTGGGCGACGGCGACGAGGAGCCGCCGTTAGAGCCGCCGCTGGTTGTTGGGTGGGCAGCCGAGTTGGAGGACTTGCTGCTGCTGGTGGGGTGGGCGCCAAACGTCTCCGTGTCGCCTGTGCTGTCGAGGGTGGTGCTAGCACCAAGCAGCGAAGCAGAGAACGAGCGGCCGTCGGTCTCGCCCGCGAAAGTAGTGAGAATGGGCTGCATGGTGGAGACGGCCGCGTCGTTACAGAAGTAGCCGTAGACCTTGAGCGAGGCGCCGCCGTTGATGCTGACCGAGTTACAAAACGGCGCATCGGAGCTGGTACACTTGAGTGTGAAGGTGTCGGACTGGCAGCTGGAGCCGCAGGCACTCGAGGAGAAAAACGCGGAGCTGTCGACACAGCCCAGGTGGAAACCGCCGCAATCGCCATCGTCACAGCAGCCAATATAACCGCTCTTGCTGAGTGTGATGATAGCACACTGGGCACTCACGTCGTTACAAGTGTAGGCATCATCTGGCCAAGGCAGTTAGCATCATGTACGTGAAAGGACCCGAACTGAGTCGTGCAGGTGACAGGTTGCATGCGGAGTAGGTGTTGCACATTACCTTTCTTGCCGGAGAGGAAACCACAGGTGTTGTCGGGGGCGTAGTAGACCGTTGTCTCGGAGGACGCGCGACGGAACAGGTTGTTGCGGCGCAGCTCGGGCGGCGACGTCGGCTTAGGGGACATGGCATCGCCGGGGATGTCTGGCAGGAATGTGGCAGGGGCGGCCTTGAACTGGATGGCCTCGACCGCCACGCCGAATAGAACGGCGGCAGAGAGGAGTGCCGAAACCATGGTTGGTGAAGAACACAAGCTGACGTGACGCTGAGGCTCGTTTCGTCGGGGTTTATAGAGTGAGAGGGAGAGGAAAGGAAGGGGAAAAGAGCAAAGACAAAGAAAAAAGGTGAGTGAAGGGCGAGGGAAACGTAAAAGAAAGTCAACCACTGGCTCGAAGAAAACAAACGACGGTACTTGACAAGAAAGCAACACAACGAGAGACGACAACTCGTGATGCAAAAGGGAAGAGAGACACAGGCCAAGAAGAAATCTACGACCTAAATGAAGGAAAGAAAGAGACTGCCAGGTCGACAGGGTCGTCGGAGACAAAAAGGAGATTTGGTTTGATTTGAAGTCTGCCCGTCCATGTAGCTCGCAGCGCAGCCCCAGGTTAGTGTGTACCAGACCACAGCTCCAACGCGCGACCGAGGGTCACCGTCCACGGTTTCTGGGTCTTCAGTCATTGTGCAGCCTCAAAACCGGGGCAATGATACGGCCAGTTAAGACGAGGGGGCCCAGCCAAGCCTCAAAAGCAGACTGCAACATTTAGCTTCCGTGGTATCTGGTGTGGGTTCCTCTTGATCTCTTTTTCAGCCTCTTTTCTTTCCCAATCCTTTTCCCTCTTTCTACTTCTTCGAACAGGCCATGGTGAAGAATCTGGACCGTAGGTTACTGACTTTTGAGATCCAGAATCGCTTTGTAGCGAGATTCCTCCTTTTTAGTCACCGTTTCGACGGACTGTGACTTGTTTTGATGAGCATCTCCTCGTCCGCCTCGGTAGTGTCCCTTCGCAGAATATAGGGTGGGGTCCCTTTGGGCGAACCGCACTGAATGAGCCAATGGGCTGGGCCGCTGGCCGAGCTGAGCTGCAGTACTCCGTAATCCTTGCTTGGGGATCTGGGGTCTCAAGGACCATGAGAAGCCTGCCGTACGACGATGGAGCCAAGAAACGGAGAGATACTGTGGGAAATCAGCCTGCCGCGAATGGCGCCGTAGGACCGGTCGGAAAGAATGGCACACGCCCTGTGCCCTTCCAGGGTGAGGGTGAGCATCAAGGAAGTGCCTCTAGAAGACCCAGAAGACCCTTCAATAGTAATCATTTTGTACAGATGCCTGTCTTTGTTTCTTTCTTTCGTTTTTTTTTCTTCTTCTTTTTTGGCATCTCGCCCTACCTCTTGTGACTTTGTTTTGTTTTGTCGTCTTTTCGTCTTTGCCTCCAGGCCGCTAGTACTCGGAAGATACAAGAGCCTGCCGCACCTTGTTTGATCTAACTTTGAAGTCCAGTCCGACCAACGACTTCACCATAAGGCAGGCACTAGTTTGTGGCGACGTTGGCGCTTGTCTTGACGGCTCAACTGTCTCGGTCAACTTGAGATATGTAGGGATCCGGAGGCAGTGTGCATCAGCGAACAAGGCACAGCTTCTGGTCCAGCAGTGCAGAGAGAGTAAGCACCTGGTGGAGAAGTGTAGTCGATCCTGGAAGAAAGTCAGAACACATCGAAACAACAGGGCTTCCGTGAGCCTCCGTCCGGCTAGGAAACTATTCAAGACATGCATTAGTTTGGCATGCAAAACCCAAAGGAGAGCACTGGAGAGGCTGTAACGTCGTCATACCCGTTACCTTGAGGCTGCCTTCATTGCATTGTTTTCTGTCCAAGAGGCAGATTCACCTCGCGCGAGGAATGGCAGAAAACGTGCGTTATGTGTGGTTGGCATGGTCGACTGGCATGCGGGATCCCTTTCGGCTGGGCGCGTACGAAGTACGTCGTAGCCGTTTTGCAGACATCGTAAGACACTAAAATGTCTTTGTTGGTTGATTTTGAACCCCAAACGAAGTACGAAGGGCAAAGTTTGTTTCGCGCAGCTTTCCTATTTGGCCCACAGTTTTGGTTCCAAGGCTACCCGTTGTCTTTCCTCGTCTGCTGTAGGATGGGCAGGAGCTCGCGGGTTGCAACTTCTCATTGTTGACAATCTGCATCGCACCCCTTACCCAGTTCCTCTTTCCCCAGCACCACGGTTCCTTGCTAGTACTTGCATTTTTCACACTCGCACTTTCTCAAAGACAAGGTGATTCTTTCCTCTATCGGCCTGAACGGCGCTGACTGTGCCATGCTCTTGCACTAAAGTTTGAAGAAAACGGGAAATGAATGTCGTTCGTGCTTGCCCTCTTTTGTGTACCTCGCCCCCTTGTGATTTCCCCTGTGGCCACTAGATGCGCCAGTGTGCTAGCTTCCAATAGCCAATTCCTCTCTCGCGCCAGTCAAAGGTCAGCAGGTGGACCCTTTGATGCCTGTCAAGCGGGTCCTGCCAAGTGCGCTTTCACTCATTAAGTAAACGGGGTGGGCCTCCCGGTAGGCTTGGCAAGGCTTTTTATTTCGAGCTAGTATTTTTTTGTTGTTTCTTTTGACTTCACGTTTTAGCTCTCACGCTCATTGTCTTTGTCCACACCACCGTTCTTTCCCTTGCGCGTGCCTTTCAAACTGGAGCTCCTTCTGTATTCTACCAATCCAACGCTGCAGTTTCCTGTTTTCAGCCTCACCATCTCCTTTTCGTAATAATTAGTCGTATTTCGTACCGTTGCCGTCCCCTCCCCTTGTCTCTCTCTTCTCAATCTCTTCTCAATCTCTTCTCAATGCTCGAAAGGATCAGCTTCCCCTTCGAAAACACTGCCCCAAGACTTTTCGTATTGGTCCTATCAGCTGCATTGGCGGGTTTCTGTTTTTAACTTCTACTGAGCTTCTTGAACAACTTTCCGATTTTAAACGTAGCCGTCGTTGGAACGATGGCAAGATAGAAAGTAACAGAGAAAGACAAATTTGACTTCCAAGACCTTTTCTTTTCTTTTGTTTCGCTCGATACTTTGTCGTTTCGTCTGTCGCGTGTCTATGCTCACGCCTCAGTCTACTTCGAGAAAGAAAGGCATCAGCGCGTTTGCGGCTATTGACGAACCGCGCACCCCTGTAACAAACACACGCCATAAATCCTTCGTGACAGGGTCCTTTGCCCGATGCGCTGTCACAACAAGCTCAAAACACAGGAAACGGCTGTCGTTTTTGGCACCGTTCAGAGAGAAACTCTAAATATGCAGAACCTGTGGCAACCGAATCACCACACTCGAGTGTTGCTGAAGGCTCTGGTGCAGCGTAATTTTAAGCACATGGAAACACGCTTACTTAAATTAAGGTGAGTGATGACGCCACCCGATCGGGCGTTTTATTTGTACCTTCCGTGTTAACCAGGAAGGTCAAGAAGTAAGACCTGTACCAAGCGGCGGTTGAGATAAATCTACGACGTAAGTTTTGATCTTGATAGCTCCGACTTCTTTCCTTGTTGCTTTTCCAATGCCGATGAAGCTCTGCTAAACAATTATAGTCTTCTTCACACGAACTGTTCCAGCTGAAGATTATGTTGTCCAAGACTAACAAAACATGAAAGAGGCCTTATTGCGGAGTTTTGCATGCATATATATATGTATCTATATATATATATATATATGCAAACTAAACGGCAACAAGCTTGGACATGTTTGTGTGTCTCCTGAGCGGGGGCACTTGTTGAGACACAAAGATGAACAAAAGCTCGTGAGTTTACTTGGACATGGAATAATTGACCACCTTGCCACCTCGAAGGGTTTGGATTTCGACACAGTTCCAGCCATGCACCTCAACTACTAGATTCGAGCATGAAGCTTGCGTCCCCTTCCACGGCCTCGGTAGGCAGCTCAGGAGACGGAGCAGTGCCTATGAATTGCTACTTGGTACGATGATAGTATCGGCTCGGAGCCTGGCTCCGATTGTCGGTTCCAGCCTTGTGATGAATATTTACATTGTTGTCCCTGAGAGAAAGGGCACAATGATGTCGTTGTATCAAACCTTGGTCCATGATATCACTGGTTGCATGGAGAACGTGTTCTCAAAGAAAACGGCTCAGTAACACCATAGTGTCCACTTTGTCCGTTGTAATATTGCGTAAAGTATCAGTCAAAAACTAAGGGGGTAATGAAGGCAGCGAGTGAAAAGAAGGAGAAGAAAACGACAAAACTTTGAGCAAAACCAAATCCGAACCCGTCCGTCTGGCTCATGCGGTCATGTCGTCCAGGGGGTTTCTCGCGTGTCCTCTGGCGATGCTAGTAAAAGAGAGAAAAGGACAAAAATAGTCCCACTGCAAAGATGAAAACCAACATACCCTTCCGTTTGCCATCCCTGATGATCCATGCCGTGTTTGAGCCCTCCTGTGTGAATGTATGTAGTATCTCTTTTGTGTCCCTGACACCCAAAACAATAGCCGCCTGTTTCTCGAAAACGCCGGGTGTGAACAGAAAGAGTGAAAAAAGAAAAGGGGGGAATCGTTTGTTGAAAAAACATCGAAAAAAAAGGTCCGCAACGCCTATCGTGAAAAGAGACTGAGAGTCTCAATGCGTAATCCATGTTGCTGGTTGCTGGTGGCCGATCAAAAGACGGCAAGTGACGAAGACGACAGCGAGCGCCGTGTCTGCCGCCGCTTTGCGCGCGGAGACAGCGTCGGTGACGTGATGGCCACGGCTGCTGCGGCTGCTGGGGAGGGAGCAACAATGGCACCGCTGCCGTTGTGGATGTTGACGTCATCGCTTCCATTGGCAGCATGGTTGCCATTGTCGTCGAGCGAGGCTGTCAGCATGTCCGTCAGAGAGACCTTATCTGCCGTCCGCTTCCGCTTCAAGCTGCCCAATTTCTCCTGCTTTTGCTGCTGTTCGGCCACGGCCTGGGCTTCCTTGTACCGTGCAGTCGCTTTGTCAGCTTCGGTGGTGGTATCGGCATCGCCATTGCCATTGGCAGTGGCATGGCCATTCGTGTCGGTATGCCCGTTGGTATCGCCGTCCTTGGCATCCTCCACGTCGGCCTCATCGTGGCTAAACAGGTCCATGGTCTGTTGCACGTCACCAACCAGGTCACGGCCAAGAGCCTTACCGAGTCGCTCCCGCAGGCCGAGAATCGGCCACACGGGGACCCGGGTGTATTCAATGTGCATGCCGGCCTGCTCCTCCGTGTTAGGGTGGGCCTTCTTTGGCTCGGCAAACCGTCTGAGGAATGCGGCCGTCACAACGGTGGTGTACACCATAAAGTCGCTGGTCTCGTCGTCATGCGTGATGATGCGCAGCTTGACGTCGTGAAACTCGCTGGGCCTGGAGATACGATCGGCGCGATTCTTGGCGTTCCACGAGAACATCTGAGACGCCATGCGGGACGGTGAGGGTTCATAAAAGTGCGCCTGTGCCATGGCAAGGAAGACGCCCAAGAGGTAGGCGTCCCGGTCGGGCTCGCTCGGCACCAGCTGCTTTGACCGCAGCGCCTGCAGCCGTGTAACGGGCATGTTGGCGCGATCGCCGTCTTCGGGGCCGTCCACAATGCGGAACAGGTTCCGGCGGATCATGGACAAGTGTGTCCGATTAACATAAGCGACGATGGGACCTTGGGAGGCCCCCTGGCTGCTCTGTGTACTTGCGATGCAGCTAAAGTCATTTGACTCGCGTGCGCCATTGGGTGCATGGCCAAACGAAGAGACCGGCCGCGTGACGGCAGAGTCAAAGGACGAGTCGGCGGCGTCGGCGCTCTTCCACAGCACCGGGACGCGCACGGCGCTGCGGAACATGCGGTCGCCAAAGTGCATGTCGAGCTCAGCCCCACTGTTGGGGCGGGAGAAGGCGGACTGGAACAGCGTAGATAGCACGCTCTTAATCGCGCGAGACTTGCTGAAGGGCCGCGTGTCCTCGGGGGACAGCAGCGAAGTAAGGTCGTAGCTGAGAGCCTCGGCGATCTCAGACGGGCGCTGACGCTGGCTGCTACTGCCGCTGGCCGGTGAGTCAGGGAGGTCGCTCATAGTCGACGACGGAGTCGGCGTGAGGGTGGGCTCTTCTGCCATAAACTCGGCGCGAAGCAAACGCGGGTGATGGTCGGTCCAGAGGATCGGGAGGACGAAGAGCGACGTCCCGCAATTCTCGCGTAGGATGTCGTAGAGCGAGCCCGGGTCTGGGCATGTCGGGACATTACGACGTTGGCGGCGTCGCCATTTTGGCGTAGGCTGCATATCGGGCTGGGAAGGAGGTGTCGACGCCAGCGGGACGAAGGCCGCTTCAGCGCCCACCTCGACGGGACTGTCCAGCATGGTCACAGATACTTAGAACGACGCTGGAAAGAAGACGAGTGTACAGAATCGTCTCGAGGCTGTGAGAGCGGTGGCAGGGATTTGTTAGCCATGGACCAGAAAAGGAAATTCAACAAGGGAAAATGCAAACGGCATTGCGCTGCACCACCGGTCACGCGACATGGGCGGTAAAATAAAAATCAAACACGTACCTGGACGTTTCGATTGAGATGCGTGAAGAGAGTATCTGGAGCACGAAAAGGCAACCAGAGTTAGGGATGTAGTCCCTTTTTGGTCCCTTTTGGGTTGTGTGCTCGAATTGTCGCGACGCGCACACGCCCAAAGCGGCCAAAGCGCGAGCAAATGGACGGGTGGTGATCACTCAGCTAAAGTGTTGGGGAGGGGTCTAAGCGCCAAAAGAAAACGTCGAACAGGTGAGACAATGCGACAAAGAAAAGCAGAATTTTTGAGGCTCCGGAAACAGTATGTTCGTGGTAAATATTGAGATGGGAAAAAAAAGTGAAGGAGCCCAAAATGAGATTTCGCCTTGTCGCCTTTTCGTCAGGCGGCAGCGCGGATGAAACGAAGAATGTGGCAGCAACGACCAACGCGGTCTGGTGGCGGGAGGGAAAGAGCAAAGGGCGCGCGCTTCGCGGTTGGCTGCAGCAAGGGATCGCTTTCAGGGAGGGGGACGGTGGGTGGGCACCCACTACTTTATCCTGACAAAAAGGTAAGAGGAGGGTGAGGGGGCGAGAGTGGTTGAGCGAAAATTCCACGTAAGCACGTGACTGTACCAAGGCGTGAATCACTGAATAAGCCATGTTTAGCCGTTTCGATGAGTCATCTACTCATTCCCAGCCACTGACTTAGCCCCACACCATCCAGGCAGCCACGAACGGCGGAGATATTTGTGCCTAATTTATAAGGCATGAATTACATAAGCCGACGAGTTGCTGCTGCTCCAAAGTTAACGCCCACAGCGGACGGCGGGATGGTGGGGCTAAGGGCCGAAGTGTGCTGTTCGGAGAGAACCTGGCAGGCGTCGTCACAGCAGGTCCAAGCCACCTTTTGCGCGAAGCTTGGTATCGCCCCCCTCTTCGACATCGTCTGCTCACTCACACGACCATCCCATTTGCCCAAGCCGAGTTGCAGCGGGCTTTCTTTCACGGCTTCTCGTTTGTCGTCTGTGACTGTTTATTGCAGCAATTTCAGTCGCAATGCCGGTAAGCAGCGGGTTCTCACCTTGGCGGGGGCGCGGCGACGCTCTCAAAGCCGCTCTTCAGGATCGCGATGCGATGCACGTTGATGCATACGGCAAACTTGGCGACTAACACACGGCAGGCCTACAACTCCATCTTCAACAACGACCCGTCGGTCGCGCAGGGTCGGCTCGTGGGCAACTTTCCCCTGCTGCCCCTGCGGACCAAGGCCCGCGGACCCGCGTACACGCTCCCCTTCCCAAACCCGCCGCTGCCGGCCAACGAGTCGCCGGACCCGGACAGCGAGAGCTACGACATCCTGGACGAGGTGATTGCCCTGTTCCGGGCCAACACGTTCTTCCGCAACTTTGAGATCCAGGGCCCCGCAGACCGGCTGCTGGTGTACGGCATCTGGTTCGTCAGCGACTGCCTCTCCAAGATCAAGCCGACGGCCAGTGTGCGCGATGCGACCAAGGACGTGACCAACCTGGCGCTGGACACCAACTTTGCGATCCCGGGCGACCCGGGATTCCCGCTGAACCAGATGTACGAGCCACCACGAGACCGGCAGGACTCGGAGCTGCTGCGGCAGTACATGGCGCAGGTGCGGCAGGAGCTGGCGCAGCGGCTGCTGGCGCGGGTGTACGAGGAGGGCGGTGACGGCAAGCCGAGCAAGTGGTGGCTGAGCTTTACAAAGCGGAAGTTTATGGGCAAGGGTCTGTAAGGGAGGCAAGCGTGGCGGGACGCAAGGATACGATGGAGCTGGGTTCGGCGGGATGTTGCGTCGTACATAACTTGTGGACAATGAGCAGGGCAGCTCAAACACATCAGCCTGAAGAACAGAAAAAAATTATATTCAAAATTGCATTATGATACAGCCATGCCAATGCGGCCCGCCTTTGATTTACTTTTTTGTTTTTTGGTTTCCAAGCATGCAGCAATCCTAACCTAGATGCAGTGTCAAAGCAAGCGATGCAAATGCAGCCAACCCCATTCATATCGAGACAGATTCAAAAAGCATGCTTGACTGTAAAGCAGTCCCTTTCCAATCTCTTCGACCTTCCCGTCACTCCCTCTCGCCCGTCTTGCGCTTCTTGAACTTGCCGCGTGCCGTCACGCGACCCTCGGCCGGTTTTGCCTTCCAGCCCGTAAACATGTAGCCCTCGGCGCCACCGCGTGCCGTCATGACGGGGTGCGTCCGGCCCGGCAACACCTGCCACTTGCGCACGCGGCTCGTCTGCACCGTCACGCCCAGCAGGAGCATCGGGTTGAGCGGGAAGTCGTCATCGCCAGGCCATGTCTCGAGCTCCTCGACGGTCTTGCCCTGGATGGAGACGGGCGGGTCAGGGCCCGACCAGGCGGTGCGCCGCAGGACACTGAAACAGTCGGCCAGCGCCGTCAGCGGCTCCAGACTGGGCGAGTAGACGGCCACGGGGGCGCCGCTGGCCAGGAGCGGCAAAGCATGGCGTAGCGTCGAGATGAGGTCCATGGACGTGGCCACGACGAGACCAGAAAAGCCGCCGACCCGCGTCGTGTCGACAATGTGGCGGGTACGGGCCCACCGCCGGCGCTTGCGGTGGTAGTTGCCACGGCGTGCGGGCTTCCAAGACGCAACGACGTCGGCGGGCTGGATAGGCGGCGCCTGGGCGTAGACGGTGTCGCTCTCGGGCTCGAGCAGCTGCAGCCAGGACAAGCACAGCAAGTGGTCGTTGAGCGGGTGCGGCGGGTGATGGGGGTCGGCATAGTCGTAACCAAAGTATTTGAGGTAGGTGAGGTTGGCCTGGTTGTTGGAGTGCAGCAGGGTGATGGTGTTGGCGAGGGAGAAGGAGACATGAAAGTCGTCACGGGCACGTTTTGCGGGCCGTTTTGGCCGGCGCTCCAGTAGGTCGTGTTGCGCTGCATCCTCTTCCGCGCTGCCCGCGTCGTCCCCTGCCGTCGCATCCGCGTCCTCCGGCACACCATCCTTATCGTCGCTTGTTCCTAATCCTGTATTTGCATCTGTGGTTTCCTTTTTCGTCTCCTTCTGCTCGTCCTCCACATCATCGTCCTCCTCGGGGTTCGTCAGAATCCCCATCCGTTCTGCAAGCGCCGCGATGAGCAGCCCCCCAGTATCGTCCACAGCCAGCCAGCGGCCGCCGCCCAAAAAGGAGCCAATGTCGTCTGGAAGCAAGTTGGGCGGCTGTTCTAATAACGATTCGTCTTCGTCTGCCGCTGCTGCGGCAGCAACCTCCTCGGCCTGGGCATCGGGTACTAGCGGTTGCGCATCGACCATAACTGTCTCTTCTCCGTCGCCCGTTTTAGAAGCGGCCGTCTCCGCCGTCTCTGCAGGAGGCATCGCCGGCGGTGCCTGCAAATACCGCGACGGTCCGCCGTAGTGCACATTCGCCCAACAGCCCAGCAGCGCCACCATCTCGTCGCGCAAGTCCATAATCTTGTTGCCCACATCCTTGTCGTCCAGCAGCCAGTTGCCCAGCGTGTACACATCGAGCGGAAGCACCGTGAACCGTCGAATGTACTTTTTCGTCTTGAGCAGCTTGTACTTAGCTAGCGAAAAGGCCGTCTTCTGGTCGAGGGCCGCGTGCGACAGCAGCAGCTTGGCAATGAGATCGCGGCCGGCTCCCGTACCCTCCCGCTTCAGGGCCTCGATCTCGTCCGTGGTCAGCGTCTGGCGCGCGTCGGCGTCAATCGTCGCGCGGTTGGAGCGCGCAATCACGGCCTGGCTCTCCATGTCAACGAGGGTGTACTCGACGCTCGACGTACCGGCGTCGTCGCCCAGCCCCGGAAAATCGCCGTCGCCGCCGCCGTCCACGCCGTTCTCCACCTCGCCATCGGCGTCCGCCTCATCACCCGTCCTCCCGCGTGCCGCATCCATGGCCGATGCAGCAGCCTGTGCCTCATCAGCAAAGACATCGGCATACAACTCGTCTGTCGGGATCACGCGCAGGCGGCTAAACGGTTCGTCGTCGCGCTTGTCGAGGAGCTCGTAGGTCAGGTGGTACGGACGGTGGATGATGAGATTGCTTGGGAACGAGCCATATTTTCCGAGTGAAATTGTACTGTGAACAACTGCGTCAGAACCGGACTGCCGAAAAAACAGGAAAATTCCAGAAAAAACTCACGTATTGGGTGCAATACGAAGAAAGCGCACGTTCTCAGACGGCAGCTTGAGGCCGATCCAGGCGTTGGGCTGGATCACAGACGCCATGGCAAAAGGCAAACGAGTCAGTGAAGGTCTGTCTTTCGTCCGTTTGAGTGCCAATCTGCTTCCGTTTACTGGGGGCTGAAGTCACAGAACAAGATGGTCGCTAGTGGCACATTGACTCGCCTGGGCTGTTAACTTTTTTCTGTAGTGCCAAAAACTTAGCTACGAAAGGCTGCGATAAGGCCTTATCGGTCAACACACTGGTAAAGGAGCTATTACGTCGTAATTAAGTTTCAGTCATAGTAGAAACAGCAATTCTTTTACGTGTTTCTGTTGAGATGCAATTTTTATTTCATTTTATAACGTATTTTAGTTAAATGTACACATTACTTTTCGATTTCCTTCGCTAATTTGACTAAATAAAATTACGTTCGTTAAAACGAAAATCTCGAGAGCCTCTGCGGCGTCGAGAGAAGAATGTTAAGAAGTAGGAAACAATACAACAAATAAAGCAGATGAACCAGACAAGCAAATACAAGGCAAATAATCGACACAGCGGACAAGGCAGGCAAAATAAAGTAGCAAAAACAAACAAACAAAACAAAAACAAAATAATACCTTTCCGTGCCACGCAATGGAGAACGAAACACAAAGCAAAAACGGAAAAAAACATACAAAACAAAAAGAGAGTGCAACTATCCATGCTCTCTTTTCAGACAGCAAGACGGGATATTGCAATACCTCGTTGTCTCTCTCTCTCCTCTGTCTCGTTCAAAGTTGGGCCGGTGTAGTAGCCCAACGCCCCTTTCTGGACCCGTTTGGGAATTACTGTCCTGCCGTAACTTTTCCACCCGTCACATATAGACATACATCCTCGGCAGCGGGATTCCAGGACGATCGTCGAGGATCATGGGCCGGACGCTTGGAGGAACTCTTGCAACGCTGAAAGTCGACGACGCCCGCGGTACAAGTATGCCAGCTGATGGCCCCGGAGTGGATTCAACAAGGGTCTCCGACGGGCCGCGAATCGTCGCTCTGGACGACATTCCATCCTCAATTGCTTTTGCCTAAAACGCAATTCGCGGCTTGGTGGCGTCGACCAGGCGGTTGATGATGCCAATCATACGCGTAATGTTCTTGTAGTTGGACTCGTCGTGCGACACCCGGGCGATGCGAATCTGCGTCTGCTCGAGACGGGCGCGGATATGCATGAGCACGTTCGGCGTAATCTCGCGCGTTTGGTCATCCTGGGAAAATGTTAGAAATTTATGTGTAAAACTAAACAAAAAATGTGAAAGTTCGCAGCGCAAAAAACTCACCAGCTGGTTGACGACCTGGTGCAGGTTAAGAAGCACCATCTCCACCCACGCCAGCTTCTGCACCACCAAATGATCATCGAGGTCCTGGGTAACTGTAGTACCAACGGAGAGGAGAACAAGCGGCTGCAGGTTGCTGATGATCTCTGGCGAGTGGTTCACGAGAACACGGCGGAATAGCTGCTCTTCCTTTCCATTGCTCTGCAGCCAGCGCATCATAGCGTCATCGTACTTGCCGCCCTGGATCAGGCTCTCAATGTGGCCAGCAATCTGTTCAACTTCCTCGCGCTCCAGATCCTCCTGTGCTTGGGGTGCGTACAGAACATGTTGTTGCTGCTGCTGCTGCTGCTGCTGCTGCTGCTGCTGCTGCTCCCTGAGCTGTTGCTGTTGCTGGATCTGCTGCTGTTGGAGCTGCAGCTGCTGTTGGTGAAGCTGATGCTGGAGCTGCTGGCTGGAGTTGGAGTGCTGCGACGGAGACAGGCCAACACCGGGAAGTTGTTCAGTCACCCGGTTAGTGATGTTGCGGAACGGCTGCTGCTGCTGCTGTTGCTGCACACCGCCCTCATAGCCGCCATGCTGGTGACCGTGCTGAGGAGCATGCTGATGCGGTTGCTGCGGAGCGTGCGGCTGCTGCTGAACCCGGAGTTGCTGTTGGTGAGGTGGAGGCACGTGGTGTTGATGTTGATGCTGCTGGAGAGGTGAGCGCTGCTGTGGCTGCTGGGACGAGTATGACGCCGCCGAACCGGTCTGAGGGATTGACTGCGGCACTGGGGCCGGAGGTGACGTGACATGACCTTGCAACTTAGCAATCTGGCTTTGGTATTCCGACTGTGCCGTAGCCATGGTCGCCACCGTCTCGGTCAGGTGTGTCACGAGCGACAGGAGAGAGTCAATCTTTCTGCTTTGCGTAGCATGCAACTGCTCCAACTCGCTAATTTGAGCAGCAGCCTTCTGCTGCAGGGCTACCGACTCCGACGCGTTTTGCACAATGTCGCGCGCAACAGTCGTCGTGATGGTCTTGGCCGCCTGGGCTGAAATAGAGGAGATGGTCGGCAGCAGGTCACTCTCCACAACCTTGGAGAACTGGTCGTCAACATGATTGGCAATGGCGTGGACAACCTTCTCGCTGATGGCTTTCGACACCTCCTGGCTCCGCAAACTATTGGTCACCTGGGCGGGCAGAATACGCTGCAGCTCCTTCTGCAGAACAGATGACACCTGGGTATTGATTCGCGTGCCAAGGCTGTCCGAGACCGACCGAGCCACATCATCACGCAGGACAGGAACGACAGACTTGTCAAACTCCTCGCGGACAATCTTGCTTAGCACCTGCTCGGTGTTACTGTTTAGAACATTGGACACCATATCGAGCAATTTGCGCTGCTTGTTCTCAAAGTCCGCATCACGAAGGCGGAACTGCTGGTCAATGCTCTTGCGCATATCGTCAAACGCAACGTGGACGGAGCTTGAGACTCGTTCGCAGATGCGGGCCTCCATTGTGTTAATTCGGGTATCGATAGCATCCTGGCTGACGTTGAGGGTGGACTTGGACAGTGCATCGCCCGAGGCAGAAACCGGGGGCTTGTTGTTCCCGTTCGGCGTGTTCTGGACCTCGCGATTGGCCTGACCACCGGCAGCAATCGCAGCTGCACCAGCGGCAACAGCAGCAGCAGGCGACGCGCCATTGTTGGCGGCGGCAGCAGCCTTCTTCTTCCGGCTCTTCTTCTCTGCCTTATCAGTAGAAGGTGTAGAAGATGGCTGCGGGTGGCCAACGGTGTCTTCATCTTTCGGCTCCGCCCGTAGCTTCGAGTTGAGTGACGAGCCCATAGGCTTGCGGGTTGGGGTGTCTTGGACCGGGCTGTCGCGGTCCTGGAAGAGTTCCTTGGCCGCGGAGCGGGAAGCAAGGATGCGGGGTCCCTGCTGCTGGCCAGCAGGCGTACTGCCATCGGCGATATGAAGCTCGGCGGCTGGCGCTGCAAGCTGCTGAGGCGTTTTCAGCTTACCAATTTTAACTTTCCCAGACTCGACCGCATCGACAGGTTGGAGGACCTTGTTGTCCTTTGTCCAGCCCAGCTCAGCTTGGTGGATAAAGATGCAGCTGACGCCCTTTGAGTGCATCGCATAGAGCTCAAACAATGTCGGATTGTTCGGGTCGGCACTGGCGGTGGGGTTTTCTAGGATATCTAAGCTGCGCAGGGCGCCGCGGTTCGACAACGAGTACTCGCGCAGGCCACTGATCACGGCGGTAGACTCAGGCTGCGGGATGGAGGAGTCTTGAGTCGTCAAGCGCTCAATGTACTCGACCTGGGTCATGTTCTTCACCGCGTACTTTGGCGCCGAGAGATGCAAGAAGTAAATTGAGTTGCGGGTTGGGTGGCCGACGATAATCATTCCTGTCGGTGGGTGGTACATGACGCTGCAGACGGCGTCCGACTCTTTGCTGTGCGGCAGATTGAACTCCTGCACAGGCTTGCCGAGGGCCAAGTCCCAAAGCTGCAGCGTATGATTCTGCTTCATACCCACAATCATGTAGCGCAGGGCACACCGCTTCTGGTACGGCCGCAACTTATCCAGCAGCAGCACAGATGTAGGCCAGGCCTTCTCGCCTTCGGGTGTCGTGGTCAAAGTTAGGAGAGGCTCCTTCACCTCCAAGGAGGTGTGGGCGGGCATGGGGTTGGCGGAGCCGTCAGAGCGTGCCGCAGTGAGGTCGCGGACGTCCCAGAACTTGACGCGGCCCGACTTGTCGAGGGACACGACGACAGTGTCGTCCTGGCTGAAGGTAAAATCCTTGCCGGCCTTACCAGTGCTAATCTTCAGAGAGCACTGCTTGGACAACTTCTCCGTATCGACAACGCGGTCGTGGCCAGGCAGCAGCAGGTTGTTGCGCATGACAAAGCCAGGCCAAACAATGTTGATGGACTTGCCGCGGCCAACGGCAAAGTATTCTGGGTGGGCAGATGAAGTGCGTGCACGAGTCTTAAGTACACCACCGGGTGCGTCGCCTTCATGCGACAGGATGGGCGGCAAGGCAAAGCCGCATAGCTCAGGGGTGGTGTAGTCCAGGTGATCCTTATCGCCGTCACGAATTTGCACCCAGTACACGGTCCCGCTGACACCTGTACCGATAACGGAATCCTTGGGGGCGACAATGCCCTCTTCGTTGATAAAGGACATGGCGACATTGAAGATACGGTCCTTGGTGTCGGTAAACAGCTTGACATCTCTGCCATCTGTCTGCCGAATGACACGTAGACCGCCGGCCTTGGACATGCCGTAGGCCATGTAGTTCTCAGAAGCTGTCACGAGATTCCGGTCGATCTGGTCAAAGTCCTTCTTCAGACGGGCAATATCCAGGATGGACTCGTCACGGAAAATCGGGCGGTTGTCCTTATCATCATCCTGGACATCGATGGAGATGAATGGACGCATGGGAAAGTTATACACCCGGACGGGAACCTGCAGCTCTTCCACGACAATGATTTCCTCGCCTTCAGCGTCAGCACTTTCCCAGCTGTCGGCGACAGTTCCGTGGGCAGCCTCATCGACAATGTCCCGAACAGCGTTCGCCAGGTCACGGGGCAAATTGTCGTCGAGAGCACTGCCTTTGCCACCCTCACGGTTGAGCTCTTCCTGAATGGCCCGGCCAGCGGCCTTGGCAGCAGCGTGAAACTCTTCCTCCGTCTTGGCATGCTCCATATCGTCGAGATCCATGGCAATCTCTTCGCGGACGACAGCCTCCTGGGTAGACTCGACGTCATCCTTAGTGTCGTCGCTCGACTGGTTGGCAGAGTCGTGGGTGGTCTCTGCGTAGGGATCGTTGTCATCTTTGAAGTCGCTCTCAGCACCTTCGGCGTCGGCGTCCTGCTCGTACTTGGTATCGCTATCGCCAGCACCCTCCTCCTCCGGCTCATTGGCCGCTTCCTCAACAACCGCGGCCGCAGCAGCCGAGGGGTGAATGGCCAGGTGCGACGTCGGGCCATCGTGCTTACTTTTGGAAACACTGGGGCTGCCGGCGGGACTGGGCTCGGCACTCGAGGGTTTGCTCGTCTTGCCCGCGTTAGATGCAGGCTTCCTAAGGATCTGCACCGGCTTGGGAGCGGACGTGGTGGACTGTGCAGGCGAGTGGACGCTACCAGGGCCGGCGGTCGTGGACGACTTCGGTGTAGCGCCGACAGGAGGCGAAGTCACTAGGCCGTCAAAGGGGTCATGATGGTGGAACATGGACGACTTGGGCACGGGCGAGTATCCATCGCCGGCCTCGGAGCCCTTGACTTGGTAGTCGAACACATTCGTGGACGGCGGTATAGCCAGCGTCGCAGGCGAGCCCGTCGAAGACGGTGCCACATCATCAAATACTTCGTAGTCCTTCTTCTGCTGCTGCGACGAGTTTGGCGTCAGCCGAACGTTATTCGGCGACTCAGCCGAAATCGCCTCGTCGTTTTGGCTGGGTTTCGGGCGGTTGAGCAGATTGAGCAGGTACTGCTGCGTCTCACTTGACTGAGACGTCGACGTCCACGGCGTGGACTGCTGCTGCGTCTGCTGCGTTTGCTGCGGGGCGTTGTTTGCGGCGGCGGCATGTTCTGGTTTAGACGACTCGTCCTTCAGCGTGCCCTGCATTAGAGCTGCGAGAAGGCCAGTTGGGTCAGATGGCGCCGGTGCCGGTGCATGGATCGTGCCCGACGACAGTGCCACAGTGGGAGTGTGTTGCTGCTTCTGTTGGGCCGCCTCGGACTCGCTGTCATGATGCTGAGGAATGCTGGCCGTCTGAGAGAGACCGCTGCTCAGCGGCGGGTTCGAATGACCGCTGAATTTGAGCAGATTCAGCAGATGCGAACTCGTCGCCCGATCGTTATTGTTGGGACGGCCGGAGCCGATTGAGCCAAGAAGCGACGGAGGGAACTGGGCATTCGGGAAACTGCCACCAACGGGGGGCGTCGGAGCAGAGGGAAGGTTCGAGGAAAGCGAAGGCTGGAAGTGGCCAGGCACCTGGGGCAGGCCACTGTTCCCAAAAGCTTGACCGTTGCCGTTCGGCGGCGAATCAGAATGCTGCTGTTGCTGAGGGTAGTACTGTTCGGCGGCCGGGCGGTGCTGGATCGTCGAGGTGAAATGGGAGAGGAGGTCGTTAGAGTGGCCAGGAGCCGAGTCCTGGTCGGACTTGCGGCGTAGCTGGGCAAGCAGCGACTCTATACCGGGGCCGGGGGCCTGGCTGTCGTCACCGCCCTCGTTCGACATGACGATGACGGACGTGTGCCCGCAGCGGCCGGAAAAAAGGAGAGGTTGGATAGGGGATTACAACGAGAGCTGCCACCGGAAAAGTCTAGACAGAGCTGGTCGGTGTGTCGCGCAGTTGGTCGGTATCTGATGTCGACTTGAGAGCAAAACGAAACAGACGCACAACGGATGAAATTGAACGTGACCTGTGAAGCAATGCAATAAAGTAGAGAATGAAGACTGCCGCGAAAGCAATGCGAACACATCAAGCAAGCTCGAAAATGAAAAGGCGGAAATGATAACGAAAGAAAAAAAAGGCAACGACTTCAGTCAAACGAAGCAGGCCGCGAAAACACCGAACAAGCCTCTAGCAATGTAACGCGGCCCGGTAATAAAACCCGGGCAACGATGCGTGACAGCTGTGACGAGGCGTGCGTATGGCGAGATGCGAGATGCGAGCTGTGTGCGAGGTGTGCAGAAAGAGAACAAGAGGTTGATGGCAAAGACGCAAAAATGCTTGTCGGGGGTATGTGTCTTTGTTTTTGGCGCTTGTTGTCTTAGGTTTCTGGGGTGAGAAGGAGCTGTTAAATTTTTCTGGGTTAGGCTCGGGGGCAGGAACGACTGAACGACAGCGCGTTGGGACCTTCTTGTCCCGTGCCAAGTGCCTTCCAAATCGAGACCAGAGCTCGTTGTTGGGCACTTATCGCCTATCAGTGCGCTGGCAAGGAGACGATCTGGCATACAGTATTGCGACACTATGCGGACTGTGCCTCATGCTAATATGCTATTTTCGGCCTGTACAGACAATAAAACGACGTGGTTTTTTATTCATTAATGTAATAGAAGAAAGAGAGCCCATTTCGAAGATGAAGTCTTTCTTTAGGTCCGAGCATGCTTTGCTCTCTCCGTTTGTGAGCTGTTTTGGGACGAACTTTTTGGCTGGCAGCTGCAGCTTTGACCTTGTGAGTGTGCACTGTGCTTAGCAGCATTTCTGATTATGTAACTGAGAAGCTAGCCTAATTGACCCCATAGTTTCCGGTCCACGCCACTGTTCGGTCGTCGTTTCCTCTTTTCTCGCGAGTCATCATCACGGCAGCCAGCTTTCTGAAGTCCTGTGCTTACCGCCGACCCTCCTCATCATCACGGCACAAAGTACGGCAGTAGTCTGCTTGCTGAATGTCTTTGCACAGTTCCTTCAAACGAACAGTGGTCTGCTATCCCGTGTCCGCACAAAGAAGTCTTCCCAACAGATCTGTTTGCTGCCACGACATCACGCCGAACGAACGATCTCATTCCCTCCGATTCCCGGTTTTGCCTTTGTTGCAACGAACGACTGCGTGGACCAACTATCGGCCGACAAACTGCTGACAGCTCTTTAACCTTCCTCCCTTTGTTGCGGCGTTCGGAGTGCCACGCGCTCTTCCACTACATTGCCATCATGTTCTGTTTACGGAGGTAAGCCAGTCTCTGGTGGTTGAAGCTGGCAATATTGCCGTTACGTTGAGCCTTCGTTGCTGACAATCCCGTACGTAGCTGGCTCCCGCTCCTCTTTATCCCGACCAATGCCTCACCGACCTTCATCTTCCTCTTCTTCGTCTGCACATACTTTTTGAACCGGCCATGCGTTTACTGCTCCTTTTTGCTCCTCATCCTCTTCCTGACCAGCTGTAACTGGTCCGACCGGTGCTTCTTCGATTTTGGCAGCAATTGGTTTGAGCCACGGACAACCATCGGTGCCGTGGGTGCCAGTGGAGGTTGCACCAACTGCCAGAACCACACTGGACATGTGGCAGCAGCGGCCACGTCCGCCACCAACGGCACGATGTCAGTTATGGACGACCTTCACGAGACAGTTTCCATGGCGGTGGAGCTGGCGAATTCGACGGTGTCGACAGTAGCTGGATCGGCGGTCGAGCAGTTGGTGCAGACCAAGGCGGAGTGGACGGGCATCGGTATGGAGTGGCTGAGGAGTCTGCTAGGCCGGCGAGAGTGGCATATCGACTGCCTTGACGTGTGTATCCGATTATAGTCACACAGTTATGGCGGGCATACACGAGAATTACGCGTGACATGTTGCGAACGCGGTCTTTTGGGCGTGACCTTATTTTCTCTCCTTTAGTTGGCGTTATGGTCGGATGGTTTTAACCGGCAGTTGATCTTGGATTTTTTTATTTTTTATTTTGCATTATTGGTAGAACGCTTTGTGTTTGTTTCTTTTTTCGTCTGTACGTCTTTATGCAGCGGCCATACGAATGGCGTCTTATTACGGCGACCAATTTGGACGAACCTACGAAACAAAAACCGTTGGCGATTTGTTCATTTGTATGTAAAGTCTCCATGATTGTACGCAATGATCTTTTGCACAGTCCAGGTAATGTTGATCGTCTTTCTTTCTCGGCATCATAACTTGGAAATCTTGCCGTCCTTGGCCTACTGGATTTCCTTTTCGTCTTCCCACTGCTCGTCCCATTTCACGCGATGGGCCAGCTGGTGTGCTGGCGTCGCCATGGCCACCTCATGGTGGTCGCATGTGGCGTACACCGTCTTGCCGTCCTCACTCGTCATGCAGCCCTTGATCATGGCCATTGTGCGGCCAATGTGGTAGACCTGGGCGTGGACGAGGACTGTTGTGTTCAGCGGGAATGGTTTAAGGTAGCTGCTGTTGATGGTACGAGACACATCGCCGAGGAAGTTCTAGAAGCCAGGTTTAGCGAGAGGCCCAAGGGCAGTGGTCGTCATCATATCGAAGATAGCGCCGTAACCGCCGCCGTGCATGACACCGTTCATGTTACTGTACTGGCTGTCAATGTACAAGGAGCAGGTGGATGTGGGCAGGATTGCCAGGCCGGGACGATGGGTGCAGCAGCAGCGGCGTTCACATGTAGTCGTAGTCGATTGCCCGGTAGATAGACGACGGCGGGCTGAGCGAGGTGTCAACGACTTTGCCGGTGCGCATGACTTGGCGCTCAAAGCCCTGGTAGTCTACATGGTCCACGATCAGGTTCCATCTGCCGGCATCGGTTAGGACTAGTTTATAAGTTTTGCCGTTTCCTTGGTTGTAAGACAACACCTACCGAAAATACCCTGGGCGGCGACCATGGCCTTGTCGCGCGCGGCCGCGATTTCGTATTTGCGGCTGCCAGCCATTGCTTGTTGATTCTGTTTATTTCTTGCCGCTATCGTCCTTTGTAGCCGCTGTTCTCTTGTGAACATGCAATCAAATGAGAGATATCGCTGTCGCAAACGTAAACGACTGGCTGAATCGGCACGTGGAGGTCTGCTATCAAGGCTCATCTGTCAAGACGGGTCGCAACCTCGACCTCTTTTGATTTTTGTCGTGTCGAAACAAGCCGGTTGCCTTGACTTGCCAATATGTCGAGACTGCACGACAAAGTCCATTCAGGCACTTATCCATTGTCTTCCCCCATACAAAACAATGCACCCCGGAAAGGCGCATCTCGCTTTTCTGTAGTACAGGTTCCTTGCATGTTTCCCTGATGAAACCTCGACACTTGATAGCAGATGACAGCCTACTACCTTGTACCCCGAACGCAAGCGCACCATCGGAGAGCAGCGACGGCCAAAACGATGAACTAATACTGTGGAAATATGAAAGCAGATCAAAATATGGTTGGTGCTCGGCTCTACGGTCGCACATCGCCCGGCGAGGCTGCCGGCAGATTTGCTTTTGCTCGGAGGCCCGGAGGTGGACGGCAAAGTGGGCGCAGATAATACTGGGTCGGGATAGTGTCGGATGTTAGCTGCGGCAAGGCCTCCAAAGCCGTGAGCGATTGTCTTAATATATCACGAGACAAGGACTCAGCCTCGCATTCCACGAGACTCTCGAGTCGGCCAGCGGCAAGTACAAAGTAAAGCGGGAGGTGGCAACCAGACGTACTTTCCGTTTAGGAGGGCGAAAGCTGAGCTGAGCACACTGTTGCACGCTCTATGTCGCTTGTATGGGCAGTTTGCCGCTTTAGGCCTGTGGCACGTGGCCATGACGTCGTTGGGTGTTGACTGTAGTCTGATGTAAGACACAGTATGTCGTACCTTTTCAGCACACTAAAAATGCCACCGCCACGAAACTAAAATTTGTTTTCAACGGGAAACGGGTTACCGAACAGACTTTGGGAAGCGCGATGATAGGCTTAGGTACTTTTTATACGTGTATTTATTCCTTCAGAGCCTTGATACGAAAGACGGAGGTCTCCGTTGTGCATAAGAGGAAAAATTAGACCAAAAGATAAGAGTCGAAAATAGAAATTAACAGAAAGAAAAATTGTCGTTAGGCCTGAATATTTTTGTGGTAACAATTCTAGTTTACGTTGCGGGATGCAATACGATACGTAGAATCACCTTTGTTCAGAGAGTAAGATATTTCTCAGGTAGCAGGCACTTTTACAGCTCGGGGGAGGTGCGAAGCGTCTACGGAGCACGGGACGATGAGATGCATTGCCTATATTGCTTCGCACCATTCCAATAAGAAAAGCCGGGCCTTGTTTGTGTACCTAAAAAGGACACAGGGGAAAAAGGGGAACTTTCGGACGAATACTGGGTGGATGGCACAACGCCTCCTTTATCTTCCTGGCAAAATTTGCGGAATACGGAAGTACTCCAATGAAGTACGACCGTGGCTCCCTGTTGTCATTGGACGGACATGCCAAGGCCGTCTGGACTGGTCGAAAAGGGTCGTAGATGGTCAAACCCGACGAAAAGAAGGACGGCGGGGCGGTCTTGGAGCCGACAATCTCGTAATCGTGTCGAAAAATTGCATCCTTGGACGAATAGTATTTGTTGGTTGCGCGTAGAGAAAGGTTGTTTGTGACGAGTGACTTGGGGGAGACGCTGGTCATAAATGGCAGCTATGCAATGTGACGCGTATGAACAGGAGTATCGTCCTTCTAACTACGATTCCCTGGTTACAGTGTCATATAATCTCACATAGAAAATACCTCTAGACTGACAGTGTTATGACTGGGTATGCTTAGACTTTTATTTCATGAAACACGATTATTTCATGAGGACGCACGGCGTAGTTTAAAACTAAAATAAAATGTATATGGTGTACTTGCTTATCCGTTTTTACCAGTTCTTCCAAATACTGACACCGCTTGCTACTGACTTTGTGTACAACCGAACTTCGTGACAAGAATGTATAAAAACTCGTCGTGTGTGCACATATTGTGTACGTTTCCATCACTTTTGTCTCGATTTGGTTCTGTACGCAGGGCAAACTCTGGTCGAAGTTGACAGGATTGGCTAGTTTCTTTCTTCGGAGGGGGGGCCCGCACATTTCCTGTGCCGCTAGGGCGTTCTGTCAGGGTCCAGAACTTCTCAAAATGGCCTGAGTTGGCCAAGTTTTGGTACGGGTTTCCAACATTTTCTGGGGGTTTGGACCTTCCACCTCTCTGCCAGAGTTGAGAGGGCGGTGAATAGGCAAACGGGGCGGTCCAAGGTTGCGCGACAGCTTTAGCCGCAGCGGTTATGATGACTCTGCCCACTAACTGGCAGTGCGCTCCATACCGACTCTGTAGCCGTCCTCGCCTTCATTGTCAAGCGAGGGCTAGCGCAGTCCCCTATTCGAAAGCCGCTTTACCCGTTGGCAACACCGGTATTTTTTTGGGGGGGGGGCTCTTCTGAACTGAAAACGGGAGTGTGTAGTCCCGACCCCCACACTCGTTCTCACAACTTCGCGCTCCAATGCTCTGGCTTTTAATGGTGCCAACCTCCCTTTTTACCAAGATTCTCTTGAATTGTGGTTTGAGTTGTGTGACAAGTCATATGGGTAGTTGCGAACTACGAAAGATATCCCCGCCGAGGGCAGTCCGCCCAGCTCTGTCTCAGTCTGCCCGGAACGCAGCTAACAAGACCCCGAGGCAGAGCAGCGAGGCTGGGTTGAAATGCATCGCCTTTCATGCAGGTAGATTACCAGTTGGGTTGGGTTTGCCGGGGTGGGCAACTCGTTAGGGCATGGGGTCCTTAAAAACTCCGGGGAGGAAGGGACCCTGATCTCCAGACCACCCAGTTGGGCTGCTCCCTGGGACTTGCAGTGTCCCCTCTACCACGGCAGGGGCCAGTCAACCAAATGCGGCAATTAAACCCCATGGCCAAACGCACCCCTTCCGAGAATGAAAAAGGTAACTGGTTGTGACTTGCACAGACTTTGTATTTTACACCGGACGAATCAAAGCACCCAGACGTTCCTCTTGGCCTCGCACAGGTTTCTCGCACTGCACAAAAAGACTCAAAAGATCCCTCAGTGTAGTTGCACCTAGGTACCTATGACGTGGTTTTGGCGCTATGCAGGCATGAAATGGCCAGGTATCGGCGACGTTTTACTCCTCCGGTGCATCTAGAACATCCGGATCGTCGTCTGTCTGCCCTCCCTGTATTTTCTGTCGGTCCGCAGTCGAGCTCTGCCACTCTGTCCTATTTTGGGACACATACGGAGTATGGTGTATGCTGGCAGGTATTTCGCTTTCCTTTTGTCCTGTTGCTCTTTGAGTTTCACTCAGCCAGATGCTGGTCCTGGTCGGTCCTGTCGCGTTTCAATTACACTTGGTTTCGTGGCGTTTGATTCGAAAGTAAAGTTCCGCAAAAGCCTGTGTCATACGGACCGAGTCACTAAACTACAGTGCATTCTGGAGACTGATCCGGCCACCTGCAACACCATTGCATTCTCGTCTCCGGGAAGTTGTAGGGCCCTTGTCTTTCACCCACTTCGAGAAGTTGATTTCCTCTTCGGCGCAGACAAATAATACATTTCGCATCCTAGACACGATCCAATGCAAAGTCATATTGGCATGTATCTTACATATATTTTTTGCTGCAAGCAAAGGCTTCACCCGAATGCCGCTCGTGCGCTTTGTAAACTGGCCACTGGAAAGGTCTGCTCTGTCAGCAGGCTGGTATTGCCTCGCTGCTTCGTTGGCTCACAGGGTCTCGTGGGGGCGGCTTGCTCGTCACTCGCCTCCTAAGTCGCCCGCTAACCTGGCCCGGCCGTTTGACAAAATGCTGACAGCGGTATGACGACATGAACGCCCATTTCCCCTTTTTAAACTGTCCTTTCGCCGCCCACTAGCCGGCGCCAGCATCCCGCCTCCCCGCCCGCTGACCTTCTGTCTGTTGTTCTTCCCATTGCCGCCATCTGGGCCATTGCGTGCCTCTGGGTTGCAAGCCCTACCGCTTCTGGGTGCTTCTGTGACACACCCCAAATGGCTTTCGTAAACACAAGATAGGGGCGCTGCACGCCACAAAAGAGACCGCCTCTGCCCCCTGTTTCCTTGAAATACATCGCACCTGCTGTTTTGGTCCTTTCTTCCTTTCCGTAGGCGGACTGAATGTCACGAAATCCCACCGTATCTCTCTCACTCTGCCGTAATTTCCTTTTCTGCTCTCCTCTGATTTCGAAATAGGGAAGGACAACCTGCAACCTGTCGGATTCACGAGTCCATTTCGTTGCTCAACAGAGAAAGAGCTCAAGGAACATTCTCTCGTGCCTCCTCCAAACCTGGGCAGCCTCGACCCGCGAGCAGTGGATCCTTGGCCTTCAAAAGCATCAGGATTGCACTTCGACCCGCTTGGTTTCGCTTGGTCGCTCCTTCTTCAAGGCGGTTCTCTGGCGCTTTCCAATACGACGAGTATTTTACCCACACTACCAACTCCAACTTTCTCAAATCCACCACCAAAGCCAAAAGCGTCGTGTCGATCACACTTCCCATCGCCACTTTCCTCGAACGGCCCTACTTTTATTCTTCTCGACAATCTTCGCTCTTTCTCTCTGCTGCCGTCATTGCGCCTTTGTTTCTTCTTCCGATCTCGAACCGTGTTCTTTCCCTGTTTCCATGTTTCGCTTCTCTGTTCTGTATTAACTCTTATTTCTTAATTTCCCCCATTCCATTACTTCGTCCACCTCCCTCACTACACGACGACCGACACGTCAAATTCGGCCTCGAGTTTGGTTTTGATCATTGTTGACTGGCCACGCCTTTGCTTCCGACGACCGCCGTCCATTCCTGCTGGTCACACCGAACAGCCTGTCACATTCTCCTCGGATCTCTCTCCCTCAAGCTTCCCATCCATTATATCACGGCTGGTCCCCTCGATTTCACGTCACATCTTGTCACCTCTGAGCCGCGCCGGTCTCGGTCTCTCGAGTTTGCTCCGCACACATCGCGGCACCGACTTCCCTCACGCTTAGACGTCCTCTTTCGTCCTCAGGTTCATTGTCCGCGAGTGAGATGTGGTGATGTCGTCTTAAGGCGTACAGATAGTCCCCTCTCTCACTTTCCCCTTCTTCTCGTTGGGCCCGCCGGACGACGTGATTCCCGACAACAAAACTTGCCATTGACCCTGACCGACACACAATCGCAGCCACCATGAAGACAGCACGTTCTACGCCGGCTCCGGCGCTTTCACCGCACCACCAGTACCGGCCCAACAAGTCCAGCACACCCCTCACATCGCCACGTATGCTGGCATACTCCGTCGGCCAGCCATATCCACCCAACCTGCCGCCGGCAGCCACGAACTTCGCCGCACAAGATGTAAACAGCTTGTCAAGCCCCAGCTACTTCGGCCTTGTCGTCGAGTCAACCAACGACCCGCGGGACTCGGCCGTCGTGCCTCGCGAGAACTGGAGCTCTCCCTCGTCCTCAGTCAAGTCGTATTCCACGGCGATACCGAAGCAGATGATGCCTCTGGACGCCAACCCCACCTATGAAGCGTTCCGCCGCGGCGCCGACGCCAATCACCTTGTGCGGTCCTTTTCCCTCGGCACACAATTCGGCCCTATTAAGACACCACCCGCTACCGCAGCCGCAAATGTTGATGCCAACCCCAGCACGACGGTATCGACCTCCGCACCCCGGCCGCAATTGACACGGCGGTCGACACAAGACAGTGGCCCGACCTCCCATCCGGTGACCATCCCGCCTCCCGGTGCTTCCAGTGCCATGCCCCTTTTCCGCCCAACCTTTCAACAAAGAAGCAGCCACGAAGCGTCTAAGCGAGTGGGCGCACAGATGGAAGTGGATGGCGACGCGGACAGCATGCACGACTCCGCGTATATGTCTTCGGATTCAAAGAGAAATTCTGAGGCATCCATTGACCCGCGTCCCATTTTCAATGCGCCCCGGTTTGAGTCGCCAGTCCAGCTTGAGGCCGCTCTAGAGTTGAAACCGCCTCCAGATGCTCATCGGCAACCACCACCTCACTTCCCTTTGACGATGGGCCGGCTCAGTATGTCTGCGGCGCGGAAGGGTAGCATGGGCGTCGGTCCTACGCCACTGCGTGCAGAGACCGCTCCTCCGACTGGGGAGGCGGCACACGGCATGATGGATGTGCAGCAGCTCAAAGAAATCCTCGAGCTCGACGCAGTTTCGAGCCCCACCGGCGACTCGAACAAGCGGCTGCTTCTGCTCGACGTCCGCGTAGCAACATACTACGCTACCTCTCGCATCCACGGCGCGCTCAACATGTGCATCCCGACAACGCTGCTTAAGCGTGCTACCTTCACCTTGCAAAAGATGCAGCTCACCTTTGCCAAAGACGAGGACCAGGCTAGCTTCGCCGCGTGGCGCGACGCAGCCTACCTTGTCGTCTACGACAACAACTCGGCCGAGAAGCGCGATGCCGTGGCAGCCATGAACATGCTTCGCAAGTTCACTAATGAGGGCTTCAAGGGCCAGGCATTCGTCCTCCGCGGCGGCTTCGCTGCGTTTGAAGAGGCCTACCCCAACTGGGTCGACCGCGACACCCCGGCATCTCCTCCGTCTGGGCGGTCTGCACTGTCGCTGGATTCCTCTGGTCCCCGGAAGCTGTCGATTGCACCTATCCTGGGCGGTGTCATGCTCCCCGGTGTCACGTCGAACACGAACCCTTTTTTCTCCAATATCCGCCAGAATATGGACCTTGCCGACGGTGTTGGCCGTATCGAGCTGACGCTGCCTCCGGGAACGGCAATTCAAGCCCTCCCCGCCTGGCTACGCACCGCCGCTGACCCGGCAGACCACGGCCAGCGCGTTTCTCAGAAATTCCTCGACATTGAAGTGGCTGAGCAGGCGCGCATGAAGGACGCCTACGGTGTCATTCAGCAGTCTATGAACGGCGCCAACCGCTGTGCTCCACAAGTCCAGATCTCCGGTGTCGAAAAGGGTGTCAAGAATCGGTACAAGGACATCCTGCCATTTGACCACTCACGTGTTCGCCTGCAAGGACGGGCAGCCGGCGAATGCGACTATGTCAATGCTAGCCACCTGCGTGCCAGCCGCTCCAATAAGCGTTACATTGCAACCCAAGCACCGCTGCCGGCCACTTTTTCGGACTTTTGGTCTATGATCTGGGACGAGGATGTCCGCGTTATCGTCATGCTCACGGCCGAAACGGAAGGTGGTCAGGTCAAGTGCCACCCATACTGGAAGAACAGTGAGTACGGCCAGCTCACGCTCCGTCTGTTGAGCGAAAAGAAGGTGTCTCTCGAAGTTGACAAGCACCGTCCGAACGCGACCGCCTCGAACAGCGATGTACCCTTGGCCGAATCCGGGAGACGTCGTGCGCAGACTTTGATTTCTGCAGAGAGCAACGACGGCGGTGCCGGATCGTCTGGGTCATTCTTTGGCCAGGCCAACGCCGCGAGCAGCAATGAGGCACCTTTCGTACACGTCCGCAAGTTTGCGCTCAGCCACCGCGGCCACGCGTTCTCGCCCATGCGTGAGGTGACTCAGCTTCACTACCCGTCGTGGCCCGACTTTGGCACACCGGCGAAGCCCAGCCACCTTCTGGCTCTCGTCGAACTGGCCAATGCCAACCAGCACGCGGTTTCATCGCCTGTGGACATCCCGCAGGGTATGACGAAGTCGACGTCCATGTCTGCCGTTCAGGCAGCAGCTGGTGGTCGTGTATCGGGCATGAACAAAATCGACAGCCTGCTGTCGCCGTGGCACGACGGACCAGAAACCAACCCGGCGCCGCGGCCCATGCTGGTGCACTGCTCCGCTGGCTGTGGACGCACCGGTGCCTTTTGCACCGTCGACTCCGTGATAGACATGCTCAAGCGCCAGCACCAGCGTTCTATTCGGCGGGCTACTGCTGCGTCCGGTCTGTTTTCGCAGCAGCACCACCCTGACCGTCGCGAAAGCAACACTGAGCCCAACGAGGTCATTGGTGACGACATTGTTATGAGCGATGACGAGGGTGATTACCACGACTTCGGTTCGCTCAACACGCCAGTTCGCGACGCTGACAAGGGCTTCGACCCAGTTTGGCTCGACAGCGACCAGGTTGACCTTGTGGCTGGCACTGTCGAGGACTTCCGCTCGCAGCGCCTCAGCATGGTCCAGAGCCTGCGCCAGTATGTGCTATGCTACGAGACCATTGCGGAGTGGGTGACCAAGACGCAGGAGCGTCGCGGTGCCGGTATTCGCGGCCTTGGCCGTGCTCGTAGCGAGAGCCTGCGCATGACTCTGAGTTAAGTGCCAGTCCTCTGCTTTGTACCCACACTACCTGTTACCGCTCTACCTTACTTTCGGCCAGCTTCGTGGAACACAATTTTTTTTATTATGGCTTTTCCTTACCGTTTTTCATTGGTCAGTTTAGCCCGGAATCTGAGACCCGTCGCGGTCGTCATAACAGCGGCATAGCAAGGTCGGGCGTTTTTATTTGGTTTTTGCTACTCTTTATTGCTCTCCGTGTCAGGGTTTTGGTCACAAAAGGACGTCTCCTGGTCGTACACATGTTCTCTGCGCCTTTTTTATGGCGTATTGGAGTAGCCGGCGTGCATAGGAAGAACGAGTTGTACCTCTTTTCTAATACCAAGAGGATATGGGGCTATAGAAAACTCTGGCTTGTGCTAGCCTTTCTAGCTTTTACTATGAATTTTACGTTTTATGACACGATTTTGCTCTCAAATACGGCAACAGATAGAAGCGGGAGGATGTGCTGTGGGAGTATTGAGCGTGTGCCTCAATCGCTGTCTATGCTTTGATCGATGCCACTTCAACATTGATAATAGCAGAATCTGGGATGTTGATGTTCCGTATTTGACGTAAGGAAAGAAAATCCTATCACATTGAAATCCGCATCTTACCAGACAAAACCCTGTATGCATTGCCCTTTTTCAAGATGGACACCCGTAGAAGCCCAAGGTCTCTCTCCACCTCCCTCTGGTGCTCCTCCACGGCAACCTTATGGCTCGCTCATCTTGCTGTCAGCCGGGCCAGCGTCAGAAGCCGCTGCCGCGCTCTTGCTGGCACTCTCCTCGTCCTTCGTCTCGGCCGCCGTGTCCGCCGCCGGCAGCAGGCCACGCAGGGCCAGGTCGTAGATGACACCCTCGACCTTCTTAACGGCGTACTTGACGCCGTCGACCTTTTTGCGCAAAAAGTCATTCTTGAGGTTCAGCAGCTGGAAGCCGGCGTGCAGGTCCTTGACAAAACGGCTGATGCGCACGGCCAGCTCGCCGTCGCCGAGCGTCACGGCGTTCATGGCCAGGCGGCCGAGCTCGTCGGTCAGCGCGGTCAGCGCGGACAAGTACTCCTCCAAGGCAATGTGGAACGCGTCGTGGTCGATCTCGACGGGAACGCCAAAGACGGCGCCGACCTCCTCGAGCGTCAGCAGGCGGCCGACGGCCGGCTTGGTGCTCTCGTTGTCGAGGGCGGCCACGCCGCCGAGCCACGCCGCCAGCAGCACGGTGAAGATGGCATCCTGCAGGTGGCGCGTCCAGCGCTGGTTAAACTTGTAGTAGGGGTGGGCGGAGGCCACGTCGCCGAGGGCGCGCACCGTGGCGACCTCGTCGGCGACGGCGGCGTCGACGGCCGGCAGCAGAGCGGCCGGATAGCGGGCGCGCGGTGTGGAATGAACGCGCGACAGGACGCCCTGTGCATAGGCGACGTTGCGCTCGAGGTCCTCGATGAGGGCGTCCAGCTGGGCGCGGACGGCGAGGTCCTGCTCGGCCTTGGCCTTGAGGGACTCAAAAACACGCGGGTTGATCATTGTAGCAATGGAGGCGGGGGTCGGAGCAGGCTGGCCGCAGCGATAAAAGTCGATTGGCTAGTTTTTCTCGTTGTCTCTTCTTTACTCAATTTCAGTGATGCGGAGTTTGGCACAAAGCTCTTTCTTTGAAGCTCGCTTTACGCAGTACTCGAACAGGTGCAAACGCGTAGCCATTCGAACCACAATCAAAACGCAGGCCTATTACAAAATCATGAATCGAAAAACGACTGTTGGAAAGGTGCTTGTCTCCCTTACATCCCAGGCAAGCCTGAGATTGCAATGAAAAAAAAATGAGCACACACAAAATGTAGAAAATTGTTCGCGTCGCTTGGAGGCAGTGTAATACCAAGGACACAGTGGCAGTCGACCATGGGCAAGCCCAGAGGGTCGTCCGCCGCGAGACAAAAATTAGATTAATCACGATTTTACTCCGTAGAGTAATTTCAGAGATTAAACTGAAAAGAACAGATACTACACTTGATCTAAGCCAAAAGGCAAAGAGAGCTAAGGAAGAAAAGAGGAAAAGAAAATTCTAAGAACGAAAGGAGGCGGGAGCTATATTTATAGGTGTTTGGGAAGGCAGCAGCGGTGGAGCCTGCCGCAAAAATTTTGGGTGGCCCGTGCGAGCGTGCAAAGGACTTTGCAGCACCTTTTGTGGCCGCCCGTCACCGCCTTTCGGCGTCTATTGTGGGTCACTGCTTTTCTGCCGCTCTTGCCTTGGTGGTCGACGCGGCAGCGGGGTACATGGAGTGGAACGGTACATCACTTTGTGGCTTCGTACTCCACATACGACTCACCTATTAGCATCGTCACCAAATCTCTAAGGTCATCCCAACTAGCCTCCCAGACGATTATCGCGAGGTATTGTTCCGCCAGACTTAAATACACCGAGTCCCTGTCTGCTTTTTCGTCCCATTACGTCCCTTTCGCAGATGTGCAAGCAGGCCGTATGACACAATGCACGACAACCGTGAGTCGCCCCAGTAGACAACTCCATGATCTCGGTCCGTTATCGTCCTAACTCTCTCTTTCCATCCTCCCAGGATCTCATCCTCTCCTCGAACAGGTCCCACTGACCGTTTCTCCCTTCGTCCACCTCCCTCGCGCCACCACCCTCCCTTACCGCTATAAGGCCATGCCTTCCGCTCTACCGCCGTCCATCATCGAGGCCGGCGGGCCCGGCGGATCGGGTGCACCGGCCAGGGTCCCCTACGTCACCTCCCCGGCAGCCAACCTGTCTGCCCACCCCGACGACATTCTGGCCAAATGCCGCGCCCTCCATGAGCATGTCGCCCGTCTGCAAGCAGACGCCGACGCCGAACTGCAGCAGTTCGAGCAGCGGATCCAGGAACGCGACCTGGCGGAGAAGCGGCGTGTGGCGCCCGGCTGGCTGGACTCGGAGGACCGTCTGCTGGTACCCGAGAAGAAGGAGTCCGTCACCGGATCGTCAGGAGACCGAGGGAGCGACAGCAGCGGCGACGGTTCTGCGGAACAGCCGAGCGAGATGGCGGCAGCGGTGCCGGAGCAGACGACCTTTTCTGCGACAGGTAGCGGCGGTGTGACGGGCGAAGCATTAGACCAAGCCTTTGGGAGCATGCAGCTACGAAGCGGGTGATGCGCTGTGCATGCACACAAAGGCGACCTTTCTTGTTTCGGCCTTTTACGACACCACGTAGATAGCCTTATCGTTGAGCTCTTTTTGAAAGGGGGGAAAGGGATCTGTTCCTTACACTCCGGTGGAAACGTGCGAGCATGGGTTTGGAGTTCCTGGAGTTGTCGGAGTCTGTTTTTGTTATTGCTGGGCTAGCATACATACATGTTCAGCGAATTTTGATATTAATTCATATCTTTGAATCCTGTTGGCCTCGACGAAATATATGCCCGTGATAACTATATAAATCCAAATAATAAATTGTATTGTAATCCAAAAATGCGCCAGTAATTGAAATCGTAAAAAGGACATTAAAAAACGCTAGATGGAAAACAATTTGCCAACGTAATCTCTCTCTTTTTTAGTCACCCGCACAACCCATCTATGGCAGGGTCCGCATCACGGCCTCAAAGGCCACGAGCGCCATGGCATTTGCAGGGAATGCCCGCAGGAAGCACGGCACGAAGCCCCGGAAGAAGCCCTTGTAGCCGCTCTCCCGGTAGACGGCCGTGGCCGCATCACGCCAGTGTGGCAAGCGCGGCGTGCCGTCATTGAGCTTGCCGCCCAGCGGGTCCGTCATGATGCGCTGCTTGACAACGTCGCTCGGGTAGGCGACGATCCAAAACACCTGGGCGGAGAGGCCCCCGGCCCAAAAGTTGACGAGCGCGGGCGGCAGCGCCGTGTGCTTGTTGAGCAGGCGCGTGAAGACGTCGTAGCTGCCCCACCAGAAGAAGAAAAAGGAGCGGAAGATCATGGTCGAGAAGAGGCCGTGGTAGATGCCGCGGATGCCGTGGCTGCGGTAGATCTTGCCGGCGCAGTCGAGGGGGCCGTGGTAGAGCCGGTCGGCCTTGTTGGCGGCGTACTGCACCTGCAGCCGCGCCTTCAAGTGCTCAAAGGGCGCCGCCACGAAGCTGACGGTAAACCCGGCAAAGATGCCCGCAATGCCGTGGCCATACGACGGCAGCGCAGGTCCGCCGGCGGCGGCCGATGCACCGGCCGTGGTGGCCGCGGCGTCGACACCAAAGACGTGCTTGCCGAGCAGCTTCTTGTACATTGTCAGGCTGCCGAGCATGACGCTGTCCATAAACATCCAGCCGACGAGCGGCGGCGTGGCACCCTTGTAGAGGGCGCGGATGCCCTCGTTGCGAACGGTCTGGACGAGACAGGACATGGGGCCGGCAAAGCGCTCGGCGGAGGTGGTCTGCATGCGGACTTTGATGGTGTCAAACGGGTGGCCCACGGACAGCTTTGCAACGCCGGAGAAGACGCCGGCGACGAAGCCCTTGTAGTGCGCCGACGAGGATTCTGCGACGGGTGGCGGCTTGGCTGCTGGTACGGCAACGGCAATCGTGCCGTCCATCGGTTTTTGTGTGGCCATGTTGTATATGTGCGTCTCTGTGTGTCGGCGTGTGGTGGGAGAGGAAGAAATGATAGGCGTCACCGTGTGGTCGTACTTTATGCCAGCTGCTGGACGGTGCAAAGCCGCTAGGAGGAAGGCGCGATGGGTTGTCGAGGAATTGTCGAGAAAGAAAGAGGAAACGACGTAAAAGGGAGAGGCAGATGGAGTCAAAACGAAGGTGGAAGGAGAGCGGACTCAAGATTTGTCTGCCAGAGAAAAGTTTACCCCAGATGGAGAGAAAAACGAAACACAAGTGGAAGACAAGAGATTACGGCGTTGAGGCACGGAGCAGAGTTGGTCTCTCCCCGGGTACCGCCTGCCGCCGCGAATTGATTTGCGCCTGCTAGATGGGGTAATGAGATGCAAGTATGGAGTAAAGGCACGACGGACGGCTGTCTCCAACAGGAAGAAAAAGAATAAGGAAAAGAGAAACCGCTGCCACAGCCTTTTACCCCACGGGCGGTTTCGGAGCTTAGCAGTTGGAGATGCGGTGGAAGTCACCGTTTGGCGTAGGCGGCCGGGGTTCGACTAGAGTCCCCGGCGCAGTCTCCCAGTGAGGGAAAACAGGGACCTGGCAGAAAAGCGGGGCACCAACCTTTTGACCTGTATGTGGAGGAATTGCAAGGCTGGTGCTGCTGTGAACGTTTGGCAAGGCATATGTATTCTCCATACGGCACCACAATACTCTCTCTTTCACAATCTTATCTTGGCCATGTTTATTGTCGCGTTTGGCCGACTTAGACATATATTGACCTATATCGTGCTGCTCGCTGCGCATTGTTGTAAATATGTTCCAAAATTAGAATCCATGCTCCCTTCTGACATGTCCACCCAACGCATATGCAACGTACCCACTACGTAGGCCTTCGAATCATCCCATCACCACTCCGGCCCTGTCGCCAAGCCTCGTCTACCACTCGTCCTCGATCCCGGCCGCCGCCTCCGCCGCCTTGCGCGCCCGGTGCGCCTCCGCCCACCAGCCGTGCAACTCCACGTTCCGGGGGTCTTGTGTGAGGCCGGCCTTGAGCGGCTGTCCTGGCGCGCTGCGGTCCAGCTCCTCCCACGGGTTGGGCGTCAGGATGTAGTGGATGTTCTTGACGGCGTCGTCCTGCCAGATGGCGTCGTGCACGCCGGGCCAGCGCAGCGTCTTGAGGGCGTTGTACGTGTAGGGCAGCGACACCCAGCGGCCGCGGAAGAGCGTCGACAGCAGGCTCTGGTCGGCAAAGTCGAGGTCGGCGGCGTTTTCGTCCATGAACGACACGATCCGCTCAAACAAGACCTTGTTGGGCACGACGACCTGCAGGCCACCGTTGATGAGCTCGACGCCGAATGGCTGGTTGGGCAGCGCCGGGTCCGGGTCGGCGCCCTCGGTTTGGGCCTTGGCCGGGTCGGCGTGCTGCACGGTGAAGGCGCAGTTGGCCGGCACCCAGTCGCGGGGGTAGTGCGTCTTGCCCAGCGGGTTGCAGACACAGGCGTGGCCAGCCGCAAAGATGCGGCGGCTGGTGGCCGGCGCAGGGTCCTGGGCGGCGAGTTCCGGGTCGTCGAGCGGCAGGTCCATGAGCTCATCCATGTTGCGGCGGACCAGCATGTCGCTGTCGAGCTGCACGACGCGGGTGTACTGCGTCAGGCCAAAGGGCGTGAGCTTGCTCCAGCAGTCGTAGAAGCGGGGATCGGCACTGTAGTCACGGTGCGACTTGGTGGGCAGCAGGTAGGCGATGCGCTGGTGGGGAATCCCGCGAGCCGCGAGCGCCTTCTTGCCCTCTTCCGGGAAGGAGTCCGTATAAAGCGCGACGAGGGGGTAGGCCGACTTGACGTTCTTGAGGGACGCGTCGAGGGTCAAGAGGCCCGGGAGGTAGTCGAGGTTGGTGATCAAGGTCGTCCAGACTGGCGAGGTGTCAGTGCTGTGAGTACTCACCTGTCTTTTCTGTCTCTCTCCGCCTCTCTCCCACCAACTTACCCTTGTCTGAATCGACTGCCCGCTTGCCGTCCGACATCTTGGAGCTGCTGATCGGTGTACGAAGGGGTATTTCGGGGCCGGGGGAAGGGAAAGAAAACCAGACGCGGGCAGGCACTGTGATTCTGGGCAAGCTGCGCAACGTGTCCGACCAAAGCTTCAACAACGTCGTTTTGTGACAGAGGTGGTTTGCTGTCTGCCGAATGACGCCATACTAGCGCTAAAAGTCGGTTCATGCAGAGCTGTTCAGTACTATGTATCTTACACTGGCAGGCATGTTGTAGTGGGGTTAATAGTGGCAGGAACAGCTGGCACGGGCCCTATCGACCAGCGGCGGCCGGCGCTACCTGGAAGCCGCCGCAGACAGCGCCGACTTGTGGTACGAAGTATTCATACTTTCTGTAGGCAAAGACGACCGACGCATAATTATAATTAGCACCTAGCTCACAGAGACAGGATTCACTTTTCTGATTTCTCAGCGTCTCGGAAGAGGTGGGAGCGACACGGGGTATACAGTGAATTAATCTAAAAAAACGCCCACGTGGGTGGTATGAAAGTAAGGCAAAACAAAAAACAAGAGACTTTGCAATGGAAAAGAAACTAAGCACACATGATAAAAATCAAACATCAGAAATGCAATTGAACAAACGTAAAAGAAAAACGCCTCTGGATTCCCGATGCTGTCCCAGTAACTCCAAGCAGATGAGGTATTGTGATTTTTGACAAACTGGCTGCACACTGGCAAATGGCATGAAAAGATGGAAAGGCAGAACGAGCCGTCGCGGACTGGAATCAAACTTGTCGTATCATCGTAAGGAGGGGAAGGTTTTTGGGGGGGAGGGGATATTCTTTTAAAAAATGACAAGGTAAGAGTAGAGCAACGGCACGGTTGCATTGCATCGTGGGCTTCGTGACGGCCGCAAATTGCCATCTAGCTTCGGCGGCCAGGGCCAGACTTGTATTTCTGCACATTGTGTTAGCAACTGTACTCTCACATATCCCAACATGGGTTGTGCCACGCTCTGCTCTGACTTACATCTTCGACCCGCCGCAGGTTCTGCGGGTCCAGGCTGTTGGTGGCGCCCATCAGCGTCTGCCCGATGGCCTTGGAGGCACCGATGGCCGGCCGGAAAATGATGGTCGGCGCGTGCTTGATGACCACCTTGGCCGCGCCCGTCGCACTCGTCGTCTCGCGCACCTCGGCCGGCACGGCAATGATGGCGTCGCGCGCCACGTTGAGGTCACGCGCCAGGCTGGTGTACGCATGGCGCAGGCCCTGCACCACGCCCGTCGGCGGGTCGGCGTACAGGCTAATCTGCTTGCGCTCGTCGTCCGAGTCGTCGTCGTCGTCGAGGCCGCCGCCTGAGGGGAACCCGCCGTTCTGGGCCGTGCTGTGCGGCGCATCCGGGTTGTTCTTGTTGAGCATGCCTTCGGCGCCCTGCAGCACATACTGCGTGCCCGTCGCGACCTTGGCGCCCAGCTTGACGAGTTCGGTGCCCGTGGACTTGGCAAAGGCCACCGCGCCCTTGGAGATGGACCGCACGATGCGGCCGTTGTGCCGGTACTCTTGGATGGGAATCTCAATCAGGTCCTTGAAGCCGCTGCCGACGGTCACGAGAGACCGCACCGGTGCAAGGCCCGCGAGAACGCCGGGCAGCTGGTGTTGCTTGATGTCGGGCATCCAGATGTCGTTGAGTGTCTTGCCCAGCCGGTCGAAGCCCGACACGCCGTAGATAATGGTGTGCCGCATCGTCATGCGCGACCCGTCGAGAATCAAGAAGTTCATAAACTCCGTCGTGTGACCCGAGCGCAGACCCGCGTAGTCGACCCGTTTGGGCTTAAAGTCCAGCTGCACGGGGATGTCGCGAATCTCGGCTCGCTGGATAAAGGGAACATCGCTGGTCGACGCATGCGTCGGCGGTGCAGTGTCGTCCTTGAACTCGAAGAAGCGCGTAATGAAGTCGAGCGCGTCCTGGTCGACATGCAGCCGCAGTGGAAGCAGCGTCACCCTGAGCACAAACTCTGTAGCCGCCAGCTCCGGCACCGGCTTGACAACGAGAACCTCGAGATGCACCATGTCGCCGTCGATCGGTCGCTCGCCGGCATCGCGGTCGTAGGTTGCAAACTTCTTCCACGTCGATGTGGGCACGTGGTCGAAGATGTCTAGGTCGCGGATACGAACATCGGTCGACGACTGCGTCTCGCCCGAGTTCGGTGGGTAGACAACGAGGTCGGCTGCGACACCGCCCAGCTCAAACGTGATCTTGTGGCGCCGGCTGCGATGCAGCTTCAATTTCTTAGACCGACCGCCCCGAGAAGCATGCGGCGGACCGACCCCAGTCCCGCCGCCGCCGCCGCCGCCGCCGCCGCTACCTCCACCGCCACCAGGCCGCGTCGACGTGGCCGTAATGGTCGTCGCCGCAACCGACTCTGTGTCGCCCATCGCATCTCCATAGATGTTCTGGTTGATCGCCTGCGTCAGTTCCCGCGGGTCGTGCGTGGCCGGGATGCCAATGTAGATGGAGTTGAAGAGGAAATCACCAATGACGGCCTCTTCTTCTTCATCCTCCGAGTAGGGGTTGTACTGGTCTTGGCCGGACCGCCGGCGGTGCCGTGTGCGCCGCTCATAGGCTTTGGCCTCGACTTCTTCGACGGTCTTGGTGATGATATCGCGCGTGTGCTGCCAATCGTAGCCATCAAAGAGATTCCAGATGACATGGACGTCCCGGACGCGGACACAGAGCGGGGGCGGCTTCGTGCCCGCACTTGCCCCGTCCCTGCCGCCGATGACCTTGCTCCTATTGTCGTAGCTGTTTAGAGCCGAGTTCCACCGATTGGCATGCGACGACTCCTCGGCAGCCATATCTGAAGACGTGCCAAAGAAGTTTTCTTCGGCATCGAGGTCGCTCGTCGACGACGCAAGGAAAAGCGGACTGCCACTGGGTTTGGTATTTTCCTTTTTCTTGCCCTTGTCTTGTCCAGACGGGATGCCACTGCGGCTGGGTGTGAGACTGCCGCGCTGCTGAGCCTGTTCTGAGAACACAGAGGATGCATTGAACAGCTGCTCGGCTACCGTACCCGCCATGCCATGATCGGCATCCAGGTCCAGGTCGCCATCGAAAAGGAGATCGTCGCCGGCTGTGACCGAGGGCAGCGAGGCTACAGACTCTTCAATAGCAGTGCGATTGCCATGGCCGGGCAAGAGGTCGTGGCTGCCGTCCGAGGCGGCACCAAACAGGTTGCCTTCGCTCCCAGCGCCCATGGTAGTACTAGCCTCGTCCTCGTCCCCTTCCACAATAAAGTCGTCGTCAAAGTTGTAGTTGCCCTCGGCCCGGCCGAACGCGTCAATCGAGATCGACGCCAAAAGATCCTTGACCGGCATGACCTCCGTCTTGAACTTGATCTCCTTGCTGGGTGGCGTCGGGGGTTTGAGGGCGTTGGCAAGCGTTATGAGCGTCTGGGTCGAGTCGGCACAAGTCTCGAGGACGAGTAGGTCGTCGCGAACCTCGATGTCGATTGTCTTTTGGCCGTCGCCGTCAGGAGCCGATACGTGCACGGAGACCTTGGCTGCGGAGATCTGGCAAATGTCGACGTATCCGCGGGCGCAGAGGCGTGACACCATGTCCTTGGAGAGGGATGGTGGCGAGAGAAAGCTGGTACCGCCAGAGGAGCGGCGTGCGGTATGGCTCGGCGCAAATGACACCTCCTTCGCAGACAGAAGGGTCGACACGTCGTCGACAAGCAACAAAGACATCTTATTGACGTGAACGACCGTGTCAATTTCCTCGTCGGCTTTGGGAATGGACACTTCGAGACGAGCATCGCCAAGCACGATATTCAGCTTCGATGGTAGCTTCAGAGGATTGAGACCGATGATGCAGTCCCGGAATGACAGGTCAAGCGTCGTCGGCTTGGATGCCGCGCTTTTAGCACTTGCCTCGGACAGACTCGTATTGCCCGTGCCTGTGGAAGCCTCGCCGCCAATGGCCGAGTGTGCCTGTTCACCAAGATTCGCAACAGATGCGGCCAGGCTCGCTTCAAAGTCTTGCGGGGTGGCATCCTCGGCCAAGCCAAGGATGTCCATCACAGTAGGTACTCGGTACTCAAAGTTCAAACCCCACATCTTGACCTTGATAACGGGCTCCATGTCGTCGCCGATGATGCGCAGCATCAACGCCGGGCATTGCCCACTTGTTTGCGCTGGCGAAACGCTCGTGGACACTGCAGTAGACGTGGTTGCAGTTGCCGTAGGAGTGGATGGCTTGGCGGCAGGGACCACCGACGAGCCGATGAGCTCCTCCGTGTGGTTTCGGTGCACAGACAGCGAGCCGGCTGCGACGGATATCAGGGATGGGATAGAGATGTGCGCTATGTCAAGATCCCCTATGGAGGCCTGGAGCAGGCCAAGGCGACCACCAATGTCGGCGGAGACATCCAGCCGGCGAATTAGGCCGAGCGTGAGGAGGCCTGGCCTATCATCCTCGGGCAGGTACTTGGCGACGGTGGACAGACGCGCAATCTCTTCGCCCAGTGAGGGAAGACACGATAGCTGCGCAATGTTGTGCACATGCACATCCAGGGCGTCCATATTGAGGCGGAGGAGAGGACCGCTGCGGCGTTGCCGAAGAAGCGTGTCAACCATAATCACATCCTCACGCTCGTCAAACTTGACACGCGACGGCGTGATCAACTCCAGGAGTCTCTCGAGATCCTTGTCTTTGGGCACATTCAGAAACTCGAGGCGGGTGTTGGAAACTTCGGCCGTCACCGGCGGTTCACCGCGAGAGTTACGCAAGCAGGGCCCGGCCAACTTGATACGGCTCACGCCGATTCCGATTCCCTCCTCGCGGCTGACAAGCTTCACGGCGCTTGTATCCAGGCCGACACTGCAGTCTCTACCAATAAGGTCGAGCCGGATACCGCCGATACGCATGTCCACTTTGTTCTCTGCCGTGGCCGATTTGTCGTCGGGTTTGATCGGGGCATCAAAGCGGACGCCGCGAGGTTTTTGGGTTGGTGTTTCCGTCTTGGGAGAGGTCACGAGTTTGGTTGCACCAGCGCCGCCTTGGGACGCCGCAGACGTGATGGACGAGCCCATGCTAAGGAAGCTGCTCAGGCCACCAAACCAACTAAACGTCTCATCTAGGCGCTGCAGGTCGACCGACACAAGGAGAGGCAGAGTGTTGATCTCGCATCGGAAGGCCTCCGCAGATTGGCTTATCTTGACCGATACATCGTCGCCGGCTGGTGGGAAAACGTCGCGTACGGATGCCCGCATCTGGATGTGCCGGTCAAATGACACAATGTCCGCATCGGCATAACCAAAACGGAACCGCTTCAAGTCAATGCTGGTCTTGGTGACCGGGTCGGGAATGCCTGCGCGAGACGCCTCTCGGTCGGTCGAGTTCTTTGCTGCTGCTGGAGGCGGCGGCGTAAGACCGATGACAAGATCTTCTAGGACGGTTTGAAGAAGGACGTCGCCCTTGTGGTTGAAAGTTGACGCTCGAGGCGAGTCAAAGAAGCGCTCGGCAGTGTCAGCTATACCGGCCAGCTTGTCAAGGAAGAGAAGTGAGATCTTCTCAGCGTGGACTTTGACGTCTGGCATGATAGAACCAGTGTCGTCTCCATGGCCCTGTGTGGCAACAGAGCCGCGTCTCCGCTGTTGCTTCTGTAGCTTCGCCTTTTGCTGCTGTTCTAGCCCTGTCCTAAGTGATTGTAGCAGCTCAGAAACGACCATAGCGAGTAGGAAGCCAATGGAAGCATCAAACCGGACTTCCAAGGGAGCGAGTGTCACCTCAAGGGACGAGTCACCCTCCGCTGGCCTCGCATGGGCCGTCTGTGGCCAGACCTGGCTCTCGTCGAGTCGCGTGCTGAACGAAGTGCTGTCCATTTTTGACGCTGCGCCTGCAGACGAGTAGACAGAAAAGGAACCCGGCATATGAGGAGCAACGGAGCGCCCTAGACTTTCATGGTGGTGATGGCGTGGGGTGTGAACGGTTTGATGTGCGATATCGATTGGCTTGTGGTTGGATGGAACGTAGATGGAGATGTACTGAAGCGCTAGGATCTCCTTGACAAGGCGGGCCGGACCACGTGGGGTAGCAGCTTCATCTGGCTGTGATCTTGACTCTTCGCCTTCCTGGTCGTCCTGCACCTCTGGGATTTCCTGGCTGTTTTCACTCTTCGATGCGTGTTCGCTGCCCGAGCCCTGCGGACCATCAAAATTTCCCCCAAACGCAGGCGACTCTCGGCCAGAAGAGTGTACGCTGGAGCGAAGAATTTGTTCGGCGGCGGGATGCTCTTTGGGAATATCATCTGGCGCTGCAGAGAGAGAACCGCGCGAGCTCGACGAACGCCCAGAGATGGATCTGGGCTTGTTAAACATGCCCGACCCGGCCAGGCCGAATGACGTGGCCGATTTGGCAAGCGGCGGAGACGCAGGAGGCGACGGCTCTCGTTCCGCTTCGTGTGCAACAAGACGCAGGGACAACTGCGTCGACTGGTCGGGATTGAATCCGTCGTTGCTACTAAATTGAGGATCAAATTCACCCGTGGGCACCGGTGAATCTGGCCGGGACGAACCGGAACTAATAGAGCGTCGCTCGTTATAGTCGTCGTTGTAGTGGTCATCGGCGTCTTCATCGGCGTCATTGTCCTCGTTGTCCCAGCCACCTGGCATGGCGCTGCGAAGACGCGACGAGTCGGCATGTGAGAAAGCACTCATGTACATGCTTTCGGCTTCGTCATGGCTGAACACGTGTGATGCCGCCAGGTCGTCGGCCGGCCCGGTCGAGCTGACGCTGTTGGTATCGCCGGGTCCCAAATGCTGCGAACCGCTCAACGTAGGGGTGGCAGCACCAATCATGCCCAGTCCAGAGGTGCCGAAGCCAGAGGCGCCGAAACTGCCACGGCCTTCTGAGCGCGGAGGAGACGCGCTGGTATGCCGGAGCGACGGCTCAGACTGGGCTTCCTGACCCCATGCGCTCCATTGTAGACTGCCCTGTCCATCATTCCCATGAACAATGGTGGATTGCACAGCATGAGGCGGTCCCTGTTGCGGCGGTACTATTCCGGACAAGGATGTTGGTAGCCCAGCCGTGTCACCGTACACCGAGGCTCTGGGTGTAGATGAGGAGGAAGCCAGAGCAGCAGCCAGAGCGCCTTCGTCGTCTTCGATGTCCGGAGGTGCGTCTTCGTTGGTGCCGGAGTCGTTTTCATCACTGGAACTACCCATCTCGTATGGGATATTAAAAGCGTCCTCACTGTCTTGAAGGCCGTATCGGCTTTGCATCATCGCGGACGAAGCCGCCGAAGACGCTGCCATAGACGCCGCGCTTACGTTGTAGTCATCGTCCGGGCCGTCCAGGCCATGTAGACTGCCATGCGCAGGGTTGGCGTGTCCTTGTTGATGGGAGTAGGCGTGGGCCGACCCGTCGGTCGACGAGCGAGACGGTGGACCGCGGGAAGGCGTCCTGGGTGATCGTGAGGAGAGAGACGACGGCATCGATGGCGAGCGGGCGAGAGTCGAGAAGATGTTGGCTTCCGATATGAGGAAGGCGCGGACGTTCTCAAGGGAAATATGGCGCTTACCCTCCTTGGGCACAATGGGAGGCCGCCCTGTGTCATTGCTGGTCGTGGTGTCCTTGTTCGTATCTTCTTTCGCCGAGTCGGCTGGCGGTGTTATCGATGTCGTGACACCCTCGACGTTGATGCGCGACAGGGCAAGCTGGAACACAACCGGCTCAACAGCGCCCGGGGTGGCAGCCCCGACCGGGCTCGAGGTTGCGGCGGACGCATCGACCGGCACGTCCACCTCGAGCTGGAAAGTCACGCCCTCAATGTTGACTTGTATGCGATCCACAATGCCCTGGAGGAAGCCGGCCAGGAACGTGGGCAGTGTCAGCGCTTGACCTGTGCCGAGTGTTTGGGAGGAGGATGAGGTGGACTCGTCATCATCGAAATCGTCGTCGTCTTCATCGGCGGCCGCGAGTGCCTCTTCAAGGGCCTTCTTTTCGTTGACGGGCTGGTGCTCGAGGAAGGACTGGGCCAGGTCGGCCGCAGTAGGGACCACGCCGTCATCGTCAGCTGCCGACTTGTTGCCACTGCCTCGCCGGGCCGCACTGCCTTCTGCGTCGTCGCTGTCCTTGGCTATCCGGAGACGGACATCGACACCGGTGACTTGAATCTGGATCGGGCTGGAGTAGATATCAACAGGAAGGGTGACACGGAGGAGTGCAACTTTGGCTTTTCGAATGTGGAAGGTTGGTGGGAGTTGGAGGAGCTCTTGGAGGATCTGAAAAAACATCAGTACATACGCCTGCCCGCTTGTATTGCTTGCCGCATCTCTGCGTGGCACGGCTTGGCATGACCTACCTTTAGTTTCAAGCCAACATCCCGAAACTCGAGAACGGTATTCCGGCCCCAGGCCAGGTCGAGGTTATCCAGGTCGAGAGCATCGGCGTCGAGGACGTCGAAGCGGGAGAGCGCGTACCGCAGCAGCCGCTTGGGCATGCTGGAGTTGCGGAAGGAGTCGAGAAGCGACATGGTGAGGCCGGTCTGTGTGTCTGGGAAGATCGGTGGTCGTCTCGATACGGAGAGGCGGGCAACAAAGTGTCACCGCTCACCGAGAGCGTGGCTGCGGAGGGAAAGCCGCCGGCGTCAAAGTAGAAGACTGCACGCGGACAGTGGCGGAGATCATGGTATTGTATCGCGTCGACGCTGGATGGGCAGCAAATGCAAGCCGGGATCTTCTGGAACGACTGTGACGGCGAAGGGCAATAGCCAGTGTTAGGTGGCTGGTACGAGCCGGGGTATCTCTGGAGTTGGGATGAAAGGGGAAGACTGAGGCAGACGTCGATCGTCTACATTCGGCTCCGTTTATTATTGTATACGTTGCAAGGTGGGGAGCATACAAGAACAGGCGAGAAGGCGAGAAGGCGAAAAGAGAAAAGCAGGCTAAAGCAAAGAGCTGCACACAAAATGAAGCGAAAGGTGGAATAGAACGAGAGAAATAAACAGACGGCAAAAAATAAAGTGCCCAAAAGTTGGTTCAACGAAAGAAGGTGGAAGGGGAAGAGGAAGACAAGAGGCCGAAGACAGCGCAGGTGGAGTAGTGCGGTGTCGATGGCAACTAGGTGGTGGTTAATGGCGTACACGGCAGTAGCCCTTTAGCTCCTTCCTCGCCTTGTCATCTGAGCCTAACATGGCCCGTGTCCTACTATCACTGATAAAGATACGGCCACAGTTGGGAGGCCACGATCACTAATGTGGGCTTGCGCGACCGATAGGGAAAGTATCTTGTCGTATTTTACACGTGGGGAGGTACGTCTGCGTGAAGTGTGTACAGTAAGTTGAATAAAGAGCGCGGGCAAGCATTGGACGGGCGACTCAAGAAAGAGAGTAGGCGGTAATAAGTGGACCTGGCCGCCTGATGAGTCGACCCCACAACCAACAGGCAGCTAATACAACATACTTCGCAACAGTTGTTTGCACGACACTAAGACTGCCTGTAAGCACTGCCATTACAGTGGCGGACACTTGCTGCGAATGCCCCACCCCTTCTCAAGACGGTCACGCTGTTCCCCTCTAGTTGATAACAGATAAGGTTCACAGCAGCCACTGCGACGGCTTATAAGCCGAGAGCGCCCTGTCAACTGACTGGTCGACGCTTGTCACGCGATGTCGGTTACCCCAATCTGGACAAGATCCCAATTCCAAGGTGCAGAAACAACATTTACTTTGTTCAGCAATGCATGGTCAATGCGTGTTGATCAAGTCATTTATTTCGTTTATCGTTTCGTGTTGCAACACGTAAATCATCGCTATGTTAAACCATCGCCTCAAAATGCAACGCAATGCACGCCGCCGCCTTTCTGCTACCCTATCATCAACGGAGCGCAACTGGTTCTTGGACAGAAGACAGAGGAATATGTGTCTCGTCGGCCACCGCGGCAGCCATTGCCGCGGCACCTTCCTGCTCCTGCCCGTACGCCTCCGCAATGCGCCGTCCCACTGATTCGCCGCTCCAATAGGCGCCCGTTGCTGTGCCAAGAGCGACAAACGGCGACGTGTGCTCGCCGGCAAGCCAAACGCCGCGGCCCGGCAGACCCTCACGCATCACACGAATGTCCTCGTCGCCGCGGACGAGGCCGACCTGGAAGTTGCTGTAGCTGCCGTTACCGGCAAGGTCGTCGTGCAGCCAGTTGGTAGCGATGATGCCGGTTGGCTGGCAGGCTGGCGACGCCGGGTCGTAGTGCGGCATGGTGCCAAAGTAGGGGCGAAAGTAGTTGAGCAAAAATGCCGTCTGCTTTGTGTTGGGGCGGCGCATCTCGCTGGGCTCATTAGCCGCTGTCGCCTTGCTGCCATCCTCGTCCCGCAGAGAGGCCAGCGTGTCCATAATGTGCACAGACTGTTCACCGTACGTGTAGAACAGCAACGTCGGATGGGCGGCAGATTTGGGCAGTGCGGCCATGTCAAATGCCTCGAGCGACCAGTGCTCCGGGTTGGATGGCTGTGCATAGACGCCCGGTGCCAACCACTGGCAGAAGCCGCGCACCGAGCGGCCCGTGGCGGGGTCGGGGCGCTGCCAAAAGGCCTCGGGGAACGATATGTATACCTTTTCGAGAGAGCCATAGCCGATGCTGGCAATGGCCTCGCTGACTCGGGAAGGAATTGGAGGCTCAAATGCGGAGGCTGCGTTCTTCTTTAACCACCCGAGAGGCATCGTGCATACGACCTCGTCAAAAGAATACGTTTCGCCCGCCGTAGTGACAACGGTGACGCTGGAGCTCGGGAACGTATCGGGTACGCGGTTTGGGGTATCCTGGGTGCTCACGAGGCGCGATACAGTCTTCCCGTAGTGGATAGTAGCGCCTTCAACGACTGGCTCGATCAGCCGGTCAAAGACTCTCTTGTACGTGCCAGCGCAGAAGAGATTTTCTAAACGGTTAGTATGCATTGCAACCGCCACGAAACCCAACAAACTGGTGAGTACCTACCTCCTTCGATACACTCCTCCAGCCAGTAGTATTTGAGACTTTGCCGGCCGACGGGGCTACCGACAAAGGCACCCCAAAAGTCGGCCATTTGCAGCACGAGCTCCCGCTTGCGTGAAATCGCCTCCTTCTCGGCTTCTGTGGCGTCCGCGCCTGCGGGTGTGACATGAGCATCGAGCCGTTGAACGAAGAAGTCATACAGGCTCTCGCCTGGATCGATGGTGCTGCAGTTGGCATTGGAATGCACAAACGCCTCTTCGACAATCGTCCACATGATGGTCGACAGTGCCTCGCCCTCGTCCAGCGGCAGAATGGTACCCTCGACATCAAAGACGGCGCCCCCAAGATCGTTCCCCTCCTCGTCCACGTCGTGACTGCTAGTAACGGTCTCGGTGGCGCGGACCAAGTCCAGGATCGGGTTGTCCTTGGTACCGTGGATCCAGTTGGGACCCATATCGACAAGTGGACCGTCCGTTTCTTCATTGCCTTCGTTGGAAGACAGACTGGGTTGCAGCCTGGCCTGGTGTAGCCGGCCACCCAGCCGGTGGCGGCCCTCAAGCATAGTCACGCGGAAACCATGCTGCAGAAGAATGTCAGCACAGCGGAGACCAGCGATGCCAGCACCGACAATGCCGATATGAGGCAATCTCTGACTTGGAGATGGCGTCTGGTGGGTCTGGGTTGTAATGGTTAGTTGATATGCCGCTATCAAATCTCTTAAGACTGAGGCGAGAGACTTACACGCTCGGTTGGTGGCCGGTCAGTGGCTCTGGAGCTGATCCGTCGGATAGACTTGAGATCTAGATCGAGGCGAGAGCAGTCTCTCCGGGTTGCACTGGAGCTAAAGACACTGTAAACGTCCATCTTCATGTTGGGCAATACAAGGAAAAGAATGCGTCAAACAGAAAGAAGCTGGTGGGCGATAATGCCGGCTGCAGTGATAGGAAGAGAAGCGAGGCTAACGCGGCCTAGATGATGCAGGCGTTGACGCCGACCAAAGAGGTAGGGAGACCGTGTGGAGCTCAGGGCATACGACAGAAATCGAAAAGGAAGATGAAGAAGATATTGGTTGGGTACGTGCGGTGTGTGAAAAGGGGTTCTAAAACAGAGTCGTATACATGCAAGATGGTAGCGGTATGATCTGGTGGCAAGAAGAGAGGGAACTAGGGGAGGAGGGGTGGAGGGGAGAGGTGGACTGCAAGGGAAGGAACGTGTCAGGCGGCAACGTCAATTTGGGAAACAGCAACTGACACAACTGCCAAATAAAGCTGGTAAAACTAAAAGACGGAAGAGCTCTGTCATCCGTTTCTTTCACGATCCGACTTAGGAAAGTCCTATCCCGATTTGATGGTCAAGGGAAGGAACGAGTGGAACGACGGTCTGCTTGATATGGCGTGAAACACAAGATGATGCACAACAATGATGTAACGCGATTGGACAGACAAGGCGGAAACGATGAGGGGTGATACATCGGTACGGCAGAGAAGTAAAATACGAATAGAAAAGGAGACTGTTATGTAGCAAGAAGGACAAAAATACGTACTCGGCCATTCTGGACCACACCAGGGGAAAGTTCTTCGAAGAAGCACGCCAATAAACGGTCGATAACCGAAGCGGCAGCGATGATAACGAGGACATGCACCAAACGAGCGGGCCAGCGTGCAATGGGCGGCAATGGAGAGGGGAATGTCGAAAAGCGGCGGCGAGTAGGAAGAAAGGGCCCGGTGGTGCGTTGCAGCCCGTTTATCGTTCCTGTAGTGGTGGCTTGTCCGGTCTGCGCGCCAACAGTCAATATCGAGTATAATTGCGTGTCGTAAAAGTGGGTGTTGATACGAATCTAGATCGGCAGGAGTTCTGTGGTCGAGTCGTGTAATATCAACTGGAGAAAGGAACATGTGAACCTGAGCGAGCGATTAGATTGGACAGCTCGCTGCCATTTATTTTATCCAGTTTGCATGGACCTTTTGCGGTTCTTAGTCTGGTCGTGCCTAGAGCTAGAATAGCCACCGCTGATTGGGAAGGCTGACGTTGGAGTACGGTGCCTTTAATGGAAACAAAGCAACGGCACTCAACGCATGCACTTTGACCAACGAACACGGAGCTTTGTGATTATGGCCAGTCGCTGACGGAGAGAGTTTGACAATGAAATCGAATCAGGACAAACGTTAGAACAAGGCTGAGGTAGCAAAACGAAGAAGGACAAATATAGTCAAACTCATCAGTAGCAATATCTTACGGCATACTTTACACTATTCGGCCCCAAACGTCAGTCTCATTCCTTGTTTGTAAATTCAGGTTGATGCCGTTGTGTCCAATGCACCATACCGTTCCAAAATGCCACAGTATTGAATTAAACAGCCTTTGTAAGTCGTGGCAGAAATAACTTATATAATCTCAGAACGATGTCGAACACAGGCCAGAGTTCATACTAAAATATAAATGGCATAGACAGCAGCTCTGGTGGAGGCCTTACGTTTGAGGCGTAAGCACAAAATTATCATGAATCATGTAAATGAAACACATTTTTTGCCCTTGCTTTTTGGCAGGATT